CGTCCAAAATGTCGATTAATATCGAACCGGAGCGAGTACAGTATTAGTAGCAAGTCAGCCACATGGGACATGGCCCACATGCATGCACGTCGTATGAACACACCGTGATTCTTTGCCACTTGCATAATATTCTAGCACTGCTATACTACACGACGACTGACGGCGACGTCAGTTCAGTTTAGTTTGCCGCATCCATCGCGAAGGCTACTCTACCCATCCCATTTTTTTTTAAAAAAAAATACTATAAATCTAAATATCTTACATTAGATTTGTATATTTTAAAGCAAAGAGAATAATATGTAGATATAAGTATGTACCTACTCGCTCGAGCACAAGATCACTGCAACAAGCATTGAAGATCGCTCCTAGCAATGGTCTCAACTTACCATGTAAACTAAGAGCAACTATAATGTTTTTCTTTTATTAGGAATGGTTGCATCTTATATTTTGAGATTGAGAAAACACATATAGAAATTATACAGGATTTAGCATTTGGGATGCCGGCCGGATTCCTGATTTCCCAGTCTCTGGCTTTCTTTTTAAACAAAAACGAAAAAAGCAGTGATCCGATCGATCACGATGAGCGAGCTAGTAAGCTCCAAAACAAAATAGAGTACGTACGTATAATCCTAGAGTCCGGATAATAATAATCCGTTTGGTTCGCGTTAAAAAAGTCTTATCTCCTCGTGATCCCTTTTTTTGGATCGATCCATGTTCGTAGTACGTGACAAGCACGCGCACCAACCGAAGCAGGTACCTGTGTCGCTGCCTGTGGGCCCCACACACCCCAAGACGGCCATTAATAAACAAACACGACGTGGACGAAGAGAAGGGAGGCCGGCAAGAAGCATACTAGCACGCTACGAAACCCCCCTTCTCTTCGTCCCCAAATTGCACTACAAAAAAGGCCGCCCCTTTCTTCTCTCCTCGTCCTTATCACCACCAATCCGATCCTCTTCTCTTCTCTTCTCTTCTTCCCCACATCCAGTTCGATTCTCATCTCTCCCACAACAAATCACGCCATGGATCCCTACAAGGTGCCGCCTTTTCCTGATTTTCTTTTCTTCTAGATCGATCGTCGATTTGGTTTGGTTTGGTTTCTTGATGCGCTCATCCCAATCTGACTGACTCACTGGATTCCTCCTCCTTGCAGCATCGGCCGTCCAGCGGGAGCAATTCCACCTTCTGGACCACCAACTCCGGCGCCCCCGTCTGGAACAACAACTCCGCCCTCACCGTCGGAGAGCGAGGTACTGAGCTGCTCCATCCTCCATCTTCCTCATCTCTTCCTCCACGAATCTATACTTCCTATCGATCCATGTGCTTTATGTCTGCTTAGAGGCGTATTTGGGCTTGCTTCCATCATGATCCAATGTTAACTTTGAGCGATCAGATGCTTAATAATTTGTCTGTGTCTGGTAGCAACAGAAAAGGTCCCTGGATCTGTGTGAATTGGACTGTAGCACGACGTGTGCGATCTTGCCTTACTATTGTTCCTTTAGAGCTATTCAAAGTTTGCATCTTTGGTGTGGGGGGGTTTTCAGCCTTTTGCTTTGAGTAACATGTCCTTGTCACTACCTTGTGATTCATCTGTGCTGCTTACACACAAAGAGGAAGATCTCTAGTTTGGTTGCACTATGTTCTTGTTATTGCTCGGTTACACTCCTTCATCAACGCTAAAAGACGCAGTCTTGATATTTTTCTCTGTCGCTGTCAATCTGTCATACCATTAATAAAGAACGTATAAAAATTGACCTTTTCCCCATTCATAGTAGTGATTATCTCACTTGTCCTCAGTTCTAAAACAGCATTCTTGTTTTTTGGGGGTTTTTTTACCATTATCGGTTCACTTTACAAAGTAATCTGATGACGATCAAATTTACTGGAGTACCAGAGAAGCACAAGTCTATTTCATACATATATCCAACATGACTCAAGTTTCGAAAGTGACTGGAAGTCATGTTCCAAATGTCATGGTCACTAAAAGTACCAAACTCTGACAAAGATGTATTTGCATCTAGAACTAAGTGCTTCTATCATCGATCTGTGAAGTTTTCTTTCTAGTGTTTTCCCTTTATTTATACTCAGCAACTCCTGTATTTTTGCAATCTGTAATCATGGCTGTTTTGTGGTTTGACATGATGAATTCTTCAATCGACAGGCCCTATCCTCCTTGAGGACTATCATCTGATTGAAAAGCTTGCACAGTTTGACAGGGAGCGTATCCCTGAACGTGTCGTTCATGCAAGGGGAGCCAGTGCCAAGGGATTTTTTGAGGTTACTCATGATATTTCTCACCTCACATGTGCTGATTTTCTCCGTGCTCCTGGTGTTCAGACCCCAGTTATTGTTCGGTTCTCCACAGTCGTGCATGAGCGTGGAAGCCCTGAGACATTGAGGGATCCACGTGGTTTTGCTGTCAAGTTTTACACTAGAGAGGTACTTGCTCTTTCGCTTCTTTCTTTCATAGGATTGTAGGAGGGAGACATTCAGTATAATGTATTCTTCAAGCATAAGGCTGTAGAATCAAATGTCTAGTTGTTCTCAGTTGGTTAAGTAGAACATGAAAGATTGGTTGTCCTTTACCTCCACACTCCATAGGTCCAGTGCATTGCTTAATCTTATATCTACTAAAGCAAATGAGGGTAATTTGGTCTTATATATCTCAAAAGTCTCACACATTGGACATATATCTAACCAGTGTCACCTACAACTTTGTCTTACTGTTTATTTACTGATTTGCATTCAGTGCTGCCATATTTTGATATTTTCTGAGTCAATGCTTTTCAGGGTAATTTTGATCTTGTTGGGAACAATATGCCTGTCTTTTTTATCCGAGATGGGATGAAATTCCCTGACATGGTCCATGCTTTCAAGCCAAGTCCAAAGACCAATATGCAGGAGAACTGGAGAATAGTTGATTTCTTTTCACACCACCCAGAGAGCCTGCACATGTTCTCCTTCCTCTTTGACGATGTAGGCATCCCACTCAACTACAGGCACATGGAGGGTTTTGGTGTCAACACCTACACCCTAATCAATAAGGATGGAAAGCCTCACCTTGTCAAATTCCACTGGAAGCCTACCTGTGGTGTCAAATGCCTGTTGGATGATGAAGCTGTGACTGTTGGCGGCACCTGCCACAGCCATGCCACGAAGGACTTGACTGATTCTATTGCAGCAGGGAATTACCCAGAGTGGAAGCTTTACATCCAGACTATTGATCCTGATCATGAGGACAGATTTGACTTCGATCCTCTTGATGTCACCAAGACATGGCCAGAGGATATCATCCCCCTGCAGCCAGTTGGACGGATGGTCCTGAACAAAAACATTGATAACTTCTTTGCAGAAAATGAACAGCTTGCTTTCTGCCCAGCGATAATTGTCCCTGGAATCCATTACTCTGATGATAAGCTGCTCCAGACAAGAATTTTCTCCTATGCTGATACCCAAAGGCACCGTCTTGGCCCAAACTATTTGATGCTTCCTGTGAATGCACCAAAATGTGCATACCACAACAACCACCACGATGGCTCCATGAATTTCATGCACAGGGATGAAGAGGTACTGTGTGTATATACTTTCAGAGATACATCTCCTGCATTCAGTTGTTGTGATGCATCTTTCTGTTTTTGTCCATTACATATTGTTTCTTCCAGTCAACACAAACAGAATGGGACTATCATTCAGTTTATTGCATTTACATCTATTTGCCTTGTTTTTAGGTTAACTACTTCCCTTCAATTCAGTTTATTGCATTTACATCTATTTGCCTTGTTTTTTAGGTTAACTACTTCCCTTCAAGGTTTGATGCTGCACGTCATGCTGAGAAGGTCCCTATTCCTCCTCGTGTTCTAACAGGCTGTCGGGAAAAGGTGTGTAACTTGGTCCACTTGAACTCCTTGCGCTGTTACCTTGTGAGCATGGTTTTGTCCCGCTACATTAGGAGACTATTTGCTGATTTGGAATGCGATGAAATATGTATTATAGATGTGGTACCCTGGAAAGTACAATGACCACATGCATTTGACACAATGTTTTCTGCCTCTCTTTTTTGTTGGAAATGCAGTGTGTCATTGACAAGGAGAACAATTTCCAACAGGCTGGTGAGAGATACCGGTCATTTGACCCTGCCAGGTTTGTTCTTGTTCAATTTAATTCGTGTGAACACATCGAAGAGTTTGAGCAACAACGCTAATTAAACTTTTCTTTTTGTATGTAACACAGGCAAGATCGTTTTCTCCAGCGGTGGGTTGATGCTCTCTCAGATCCTCGTATTACACATGAACTCCGTGGCATCTGGATCTCCTACTGGTCGCAGGTAACATAATTTCTTCGTGGGTGCAAAGTGCTTATCAGTTGTCAGTGAGAGATCATGTACAATTGTACCTTGTATTGACACACTGAAACCATATATTTGTGTGTTGTTGCAGTGTGATGCGTCCCTTGGGCAGAAGCTGGCTTCACGTCTCAACCTGAAACCAAACATGTAGATCGGCCAGGAGGAATCCAGTGGTGGTGCTATGTTGGACAGTCAAACATGAACTGTAATGTGTCGACCAGCCGTAGTCGTGAATAAAATGTGATACGGTGATATGTATACTGGTGACGCAAGTTGTGAAACTGTATCTGGAATCCTGAAAATATGCCTTGCTGTGTCTTGGGAAAGAGATAATAAAGACTGATACAGTGGGTGCTATATGTTTGAACTTGTTTATACATCTGCCATCTCTTGTTTGCCTTTGTGTTAAGATGGCTTTAGAGACTGGAACGAACAACCAGCTGTTTGCCTTTGTGCCTTTGTGTTAAGATATTTCTCGGTCAACCCATCCCTGGATAAAGCAGGATTCAACTATGTTCTAGGCCTTTTTTTTTATGGTTCTGAGATTCAGAGCTGCGAGTTATTTCTTTTTCTTCCAACACTAGCATGTTATAATCCATTGTAGTTAAGCTAAGCCCATACTTCGTATAAAAGGACAAAATATTTCAATGATTTATTTATTAGCCTCAGCACTCACTTGTCATTTCATATATTATCCCATAATCAATTGAACAAAAGTAACAGCTGCTATGCTGCAAGGTGTAAGCCACTTGACACAATTGATGTAACCGGATTATTGAGCGTAAGAATGATAAGATCATCAAGTCTGAACTATGTCTACTTTGCCTAGCTTTCTACTAGCGAATAACCTACACTACAAAACTCATTCGCACAGAGAAAAACAGAAAACTGGGTGAAGAGTTGCATGTTATTGCTCACTCATGTAGCAGCGTTGAATGTGTGAGTTGTCAAGATCTACATACTTGGACCAGTAGGGCTTGTACTTGGAAATGGCAAGGTCTAGCCAGGGCTTGTAATTCCCATTGTAATGAACTACTGCTGCATTCTCAATCTCAACAAGGTCAACAGATGGATCATAGCCAAGGCCCAACACATGCCAAGTGCGATTCAATGGGTATGTCAGGTTGTAGAAAGTAATCAGTCCTGGAGGCAATGTATCCAGCTTCCACAGCTTACGATCCTCATTCTGCAAAAACACATTCTCTTATCAAATGAAACAAACAAAAGATAAATACCAATTGTTGCAGTTGCATGACCTTCAGTTCATAGACAGAATGCATGGTGGGATAAATGTATTCGAACAATATAATCAAGCACAGCTTTCTTGTTCCACTACTTACCAGATCTTGCCAATAATGGTATATTCCAGTGATATTTTGCTTCTTCCACTCTTTCAGGTCAAACATGTTCATCCCAAAAGCCCACCCACAAGCATGTGGATCAAAGTTCTCTGAGATCTTTGGGTGTGAGAAATTGAGGTATGTGTTGAAGCGATGGAAACTTTCTTTGCAGGTTTCAACTGCACCATTTACTATCCCTTTAAGATCAACATCCCATAGCGGTGTCAAGTCCTTCTGCACAACAACATCGTCATCGAGAAACAGTATCTTGTCAAGCTTGGGGTGTATTTCTGGCATGTAGAACCTTAGATGGTTAAGCATAGACAGATATTTGGGGTTCCTGTACTTCAGATTTTCATTTCCATCAGAGAGTGACGATGGATCATGTGCTTTGAAATAGTACTCTTTGAGCCGAGCTGACTCAAGTTGTCGTAGAACTGAACAGTATGACGAATTGAGCCACTTGAAGTTGTCAATGTTTTCCACATGGACAGTAGCAGGTAGAGGAGGATTGCTTATGAACCACATTGTCATAGCTGCAAAATTAAGTCTATCAGTGACAATGTGGAATACATGCTTCTCTGGTTCCTTGGCATGTGTCACCGTTGATCTAACAACTACTGAGGCTGCAAGGACGTTATCTGAAAATATAGCGTAGTGGTATAGAGACCGATCCTCACGCTTTGCCTTATCTTCTTCCTCCTTCAAAGCAGCATCACGAAAATATTCCTTGACCACACCATCACGAAAATGATAATCGGTTGTCAGCTGCATATGCAGACAGTGCAAAGGCATGGGGACTGTCTTTGCAGCATGCTGCACCAGGAATGAGTTCTGCTTCTTAACACTATCGATATTTAGTTCTGTAGACTGTAGCATAACACGCAATCGTCTGGATACTTCACCAGAGTTGTACAGAACATCTCTAGCTGAAGACAGGGCATGCCCCATTGCTTTTGCTCGCTCTAAAGCACTGCATAAGAAATGTGGGTGATAAATAATTGAACCTTCAGAGTCACAGCAATAAATAACTGAACCTTTAGAGTCACAGCAAACAAGCAACTGAACTGGTAAGTCTTCAAAGGCGTAGAATAAAGTACCTCAAATCAAGTTTGTAATCCATGTGTGCATCCCCAATACCTTCTTGGCTTTGTTTTATGCATGTCATGAGCAACACGTACAGGTCAGGTTGCTTCTGGGAATGTGCAATTGTGGCATACACCTTGGCCATTATAATCTGATCTTTCATGAGTCTGAGGGTTGAATCTGTGTTAGTATGGTGAAACCCCGGCCTCCATATGTTGTAGCTGGCTCTTACTTTATTACTGAAGTTCCTTGATCTGTCTGTGGCCACATTTCTCATGTTGAGTTCAGCCTCCCTGTCCACCTGAAGCAACTCCTGGGTCCTATCCTCCTTTCTTTTGCGTCGGAATACCTACAGGAACCATAATGGTATATTGGATACAGTAAGATGGCGAAGAGTTAATCAAACAGGAATTATAAAAAAGAACATAACATACAGGTAAAAATATCCATCATCATTTATAATTATGATATAAGAAAAATAAGAAATCAACCACTCTCTTTAATTTAATCGGATCGTTTCTTCTGGTTTCCAAAGTTCCTGTGGTTGAAATATTTGAGATTTCTGACCCAGTGTCTGGTAGCTGCTCCTTCGCAATTTCTTGCTATTACCGCAGCAGAAAAAAGAGCTGTGACAAGCCAAAACAGCGCAACTGACTTGTCCAGATAAAAACACAATTTTGTGAACAACATACAGTTTGAGCTAGTGGTTGGGTATCTTTCGGTTGCAAAGGATTCTTCCAGATAGAGGACGAGAGGAATTCTGTCATGGTAACTTTGAAGAGCTTGATCCGACCATCCTGGTCCGTGTAAGCAATCGTCTTATCGGCATCATCCATGCCCTACCAGAATGCACATTCATTCAGTAATTTGGCTAGAAACAAAATGGACATTACAAGGTATCAGAAAACCTGTACATTGCGGCATCCATGACAGCTCCCAGGACCCTTGCGCTCGCTGAAGATTCAAGAATCCAGGATGGTAAAGAATCTTTATAAATAAAGAATACAAAGTACACTGGAAGGGAGAAGATTATTATTGTTGTTATACGTGTGGTGATCGGAGAAGAGACATAGGGACAGTGCCGATCCGACAGAGGGGACATGAATCAGGAGCTGCGGCAACGAATTGCGAGTTACTCCATTAGATAGATGATGAGAAAGAAGGAATCCTACTCTTGTGTAGCGTAGTGCAGTAGCCAGCAGTCAGTATGTTTGCTGCTGAAACTGATTAGATTACAGTTGGTGAGTGATGTGGTGAGCACCTGGAAGGAGAGGAAAAGGAGGAGGAGAAGGACGACGGCGAGGAATCCGGGGCGGCGGCGGAGCGGGAACATGCATGCTTCTGGGCGCCGACGCCGACGAGGAGATGGAGATGGCCATGGCCATGGGAATGGGGATTGGGATTGGGATGAAATTTTGCTTTCCGTTTTGGGCCGAAACGTAATTACATGGGCTGGCTTGCCTTGCCACTGTGGCTTTTGGGGCCATCTATTCTTTTTTGCCTGATTGCGTAATAAAATGCAGTATATAAACTCATTTTCCTCTCATATGTATTATGTGTATATATATTTGGATAAAGATCATATTTACCCTTCAACTTTTCTTAAAGAATAATTTTTCATCCTAACTTTTGAAACTGGACAAATAACACCCTAATGCATGTTTCATGGTGGTTTTGATCAATATGATAGTGTTTTTCTTTTGCTAAAATGAACTTCAACTAAGTAAATTTTATAATTATGAACTGACATCTACATTATAAGAATACCAAGGAAGAGTATATGAACAAGGAAAAACACGTCCATTTCAAACAAAACTACTTAAAAGAACTATGTTACTAGGTGTTATTTGTCTAATTTTAAAAGTTACAGTGAAAGCACAACCGGTTTTGTAGTTTAGAATGAAAAACAGACTTCAAGCGAAGTTCAAGGACAAACCTATGTATTTTACAGCCTTACTTTAAGTAATATTTTGTACGAGAAACATGACATGGACAACCCCACGTCTCTCTCTCTCTCTCTACCTGAATTGAATTAACCAAAAGGAACTGTACAGAAGAAGTACAAGAATGTTTCTCTCTCTCTCCCCTTTTCTTTGCCAACCTTTACACACATTAGTTAACACTTTTATTTGATCCTAACTAGATTTAAAGGATTCAAAAGGAAGGGCAGATGAGATAACATTGTAGACATAACTTAGGCAAACATCTCAAAAAAACAAAGAAAGGAAAACTTTAGCCAATCAGGTTAGGGACATCGACACATAGTAGAAAGATTGGATTTGGAGCACACTTGCTTTCTACCTTGATGACATACACAGGTAGGTTTAGCTCCAACCAAGATAGGAGTACAACCTTTTTGACCAAATCGTATCGCAAAGTGGAGCATGCATCCTATATATCCATGCATGCCGAGATGGAGGCCTAAACCCTACGGCATAAAATCCCCCCATTTGATCCGATTAGTGCCTTGAATATCATTTCTGAAATTAATTCCGCATTCCCACCACAACTTCGTGCTTCATAAGCTAAAGCTTTGTCAGTAGTGGAGTTCCCACTAGAAGCAAAAATGAAAAAGAGAGTGCGCATGCACATTATTTTGGAGCCCTCTAGGTTAGTATAGTTAGCTTCCGCTGTTAATCTGCAACAGCGGAAGGCAAAAATCCACCATCACTTTCTGTCTAATGATTTTGAGCAGTTAGCAATCTTGACCACACCAAAAATATCAATGTTCTTATATACTGTGTCAATTAAGGTTCTTCCAATAAATATGTACCCAAAAAAAAAACATTTTTCCCTTCCTTGACAAGGATTGGCAAACTCTTCCTGAAAAAAAAAATCCAAAAGCTTGTTTCCCCTTCCTGAGAAGGATTGGCAAAGTCTTCCTGATAATGAATAAATGATTCAATTGTGTACCTTCTTCATAGCTGAACACTGAATTTCATTGTTTTTGAAGGAACGACATTGAATTTCATCACTTGTATAAAACTATAACCAAATGAAAGGAAAGCATATAAACTGACAATGACTTCTTGCTGTTCTCAGTGCAACCTGATGCAACCCGTGATGCTTCAATACAAAAATAATTGAATTTATGCATATGACTATATGACAGCTATAAAGATTTAGTATATTTTTGTACTGTTACATTGATCATCATGATCGGTGCAAACTTCGTCATGACATCAAGAATTGAGATCTACTATAGTTAAACTTTACACCACCACCAACAGAATCAGCCCAATCTTATGTATCTCTACGATCATCTGCCCTTGGAGCTCGTCCTCGCGCTATCGCTCCTCGGAGAATTCCCCTGTCCACGCACCAGTGAGGAGCTGTTCCTGGGCTCCCTCGACTTGCTCTTAATCAACTTGATCTTCTCGAGAGCCTCAACGACTTCCTTCATGGATGGTCGGCTCTTGGGATCACCAGACAGACACTTGAGAGTGAGCTGAGCAGCTTGGAGGGCTCCCCTGGAATGATACTGCCCCTCAAGACGACTGTCCATCAGCTGGCTCAGCTTCCTCCGGTCAGCCAGTAACGGTTTTGCCCAGTCTACCAAGTTCAGCTTCCCACTGGGGCGGCTTGGGTCCAGCGCCCTCAGGCCAGAGAGCATCTCAAGCAGCACGACGCCGAAGCCATACACATCACTCTTCACATACAGGTGGCCTAGCTCATGAAAGATGAAATCAACCAGTATTTGCTATTTAGTGCAATGAACAGATACTTTCTTTCTTGTTTAAATAGTCCAAGCACAAGGATGTGACTGATGAAACATACCGGTAGCAACATACTCTGGAGCCGCATAGCCATAAGTACCCATCACTCGTGTTGTCACATGGGACAATCCACCGTCTGGACCATGCTTGGCCAACCCAAAGTCTGAGAGCTTTGCATTGAAGTTCTGAACACAATCAACATGATTGCAAACCGATTAGAGACTATTGTGTTTTGCGCAACAGGGAGCTGCTTATCAATTATAATTAGTTAGTTATCTAAAGAGTATATACCGAATCTAGTAAGATGTTGGAAGCCTTGAAGTCCCTGTAGATGATCTGTCTCTCTGATGAATGAAGGAAGGCAAGGCCACGAGCTGCACCAATGAGAATCTTCAGTCTGAGGCTCCAAGGCAGTGGCTCGTAAACTGCTCCTCCTGATGATGAAGAATTAGCATCAGAACTAGGAAAATAGGATGTTTGATCATAAATTCCCTTGACACCCTAGCAAAAAAATTAGAGTAATAATTTTCATATTATATTGAAACATTAACATAACAAGGAAAGAATAATGGAAGGTAGCAGCAACAAGGAACTGTCTAGGTCCAGACAATTTCGTTGATGCTGATGTCCTCAAAAAGTCCGTTTCATTAGTTGTATAGCACTATGGAATATGGTGCTTAATATATAATACATGATGAAAACGATGTTGCAATTGCACCAACATCTGCAAAGTGATGCATTGTATAGAGAGTAGGCATAAAGAGAGGTAAACAAATTGACATAAAAAGAAATGTTTCAGATATTATCATTAAAAAAAGGGAATCCAAGAAAAGACTCACTGCGGAACAGATGATTCTCCAAACTCCCCTTTGCCATGAACTCGTACACAAGAAGTAGTTCGTCATTATCCTTGCAATAGCCCAAGAGTTTGACAAGGTTGGGGTGTGAAATCCTCCCAAGGAAATTCACTTCAGACTGCATCGGAAACACATAGTTCCTTTTGAGAGAAGCACGTAACAGAAAAGCATGGAAAGTAGTACCACTTTTACCATCAGCAACTCATGGGAGAACGGTACTGGATTATGCTCTAAAAGTAAGTAAATAGAGTATGAAATGATGTAGGCAAGAAAAACAAACTAGAGCCACCAGAGATTTTTATTGCTGGTTATTAATAGAATCAACCGACATAACAGTTAACAAGGCACAGAGAAGACATCACATAAGTAGTGCAATATTATCAGATCATGACAAGAGTGGCAAGTAATGCAAAGGGCCAGCAAGCTCCACCCTGTCATGAGCATGAAAATGGTGATTGCAGCTTGAGCAATTCCAAACTATATGACAGTATTTTTCAAAACTAAATCTACCAATGGTTTGAGAATATTGAACACTGGCTGCCTTAGCCCCCTGATTTCAAGAAAAAATAGAATCTTCCTGAGAATCAATTAAGCAATTTATAATGAAATTAACAAAAGAAATATGTTTAGATAAGCAATTGGTGGGACATGATAATCACCTCCCATTGCTCCGTTCCCTGTACACTCTCAGGGTTGAGCTTCTTGACAGCAACCACCACACCGGTGCTACTCTTGGATGGATTCATGGTCCTCTCATCAACCCATCCCTTGTAAACCTTCCCAAATCCACCCTCCCCAAGAACTGTATCAGTCCTGAAATTCTTGGTAGCATTCTTGAGTTCAGCAAAGGTGAAGATCCTGAGATTTCGGGACTCAAGAATCTGGCCGTCTGGATAAGCATCGTCAGTGCTTACACCGCTAATGGTGGATGGAATGAAAGTACTGTTACTAAGTGTTGACAGCTTCCCGGTGGTGGTGGAGCTAGTAGTCCTCTTGGATGCAGACATTCCTACATGGTATGAAGATATTAAATGTGAGGTTTGAGTTAAGCGGATACAAATCAGCAGTCTCATATACATTATTGTTAGAACAAAGATTTCTGGGATATATATTCCTTAAGCGAGGTTAATGGTTAAAATTTGGAAGTATAATTCAGTGAATGTGTAGAAATGTGGTGTTGATGTTTGTGATGGTCGAATGTGACGGCACCGATGGAGCATAGCAAAAAAAAAAAAAAGGATACAGGGGAATTTGTTTATAGAACTGAAAAATAATTAATTTGAGGGGGAACGGTACTACCGTTTAGTGGAGTATGTTTTATGGAGTGAATTTGTGAGAGAAAAAAATAAAAAAAAAGGTTGTGCAGTTGGCAGCAATCAATCTAGGAGGTGAATGAATGGATTTTTCAGTTAAAATAGATAAATCAATGAATAGAGCGAATTACAGAGTGAGTGTATAGAAGTAAATTAATTAGCAATAGAAGAAGTAATCCGGGTGGGTATAGTGCTGTTGGAAAAGATGATTGTTTGCAGGAACAAACAAGAGAGATGGTGAAAGTCCATATGAAAGGCATAATAAAAACAGAAAGATTGAATCTTTTATATATAAATACAGAAAAGAAAAGAGCAAGATGGGATGGGATACGGACCTGGGGCAGCATCGTCATCGTCGTTCTCGTTATTGGCCCTTTTGGTGAAGAAGAAGGAATCTATGGCGCTGGCGCAGTTGCCCATGGCCTTGCTTTCCCCGGTTGAGAGGAAGGAGAAGATCGAGTCAAGCGGGGGAGACTATCCTCCTATCCTATCGACTTCGATTAGAGAACGCGCGCGCGCAACAAGGAAGACGATCGAGAGCCCTCCTCTCTCTCTCTCTCTCTCTCTCAGCTCAAATCTCTCAAGAGCGAAGAAGAGGAAACCAACCCAACCGTGCGTCTCTCTCGGAGGGGGATGGTCACTCCTCCACTACTAGACACGACGAAGAAGAAGAAGAAGAGGAGGAGCAGCGGTTCGTTCGTTTGCGGGGCCCACCTGTCAGTGAGTGACCTCCTCCTCTTCGAGTCAACGGGGTCAACGCTAACCACATCTCTTTTGCTTTTATTTAATTGCTGGCCCATCTCAACTGTACCAAGTGTGTGTGTACATATGGCCACACAGAGAGACACGACCCGACCAGCACGCACCTGTCACCCAACCAATCGATCGACTCACATCTATTCTAAAATCTACTTAAAATTAAGTCTGAATTTACCCCCCTCAAGTAAATTCAACCCAACGAATTATCCTCTAAATTTAAAACCAGATATTTTTAATCCGGACAAACTGTACCCTCTAAATCAATCCGATGTGGTTTTCGTCTGATGTGTAGTAAACATACTGATATAGCGGTCCAATTAGACAAAATATATTAAACAAAATAGTGGGATCCACCTATTAGGTTCTTGTTACCAAGAAGAAAGCGGCGCTCCGGGAGAAGGTCATGACAGCTGTAGAGGCTGTAGAGGAAGCCCATAGCAATGGATACTTGGTATATTACATATGTATATAACTGATTAGGTCTAATACTTCATTTTCAGCCTTTTTTTCCTCAACAAATCCACTACTCTTATACTCATGGCTCATGACACTTTTAATACAGTAACCAACTACCGCAGATACTACCAAAGAAGGCACATGATGCCTATAATTATTGAGTGAATGCCCAACCTATATATCATGCATCCGCGATTGACAAGGGTAATAGGGCTAGTTGGCATGGAGGAAATCGAGCCATGCGTTGGTGTGGGAGGAAGCTGTGGAACTTTGGCAAGGGTAATTCGCTCGTTGCCATCCTTTTAACGCTCACGAAGTGGGGAGGGGGCGCCATGGCGGTTGCCAACCAGGACTTCCAAGGCCCAGTCTCGTCGCCGCCTCCATCTCCACCTCCTCGAGTTGCCCCCTCCGACACCACCAGGTCAGCCTCCTCCTCCACAACAGTGACCATGCACGGCTCTAGGCGTGCGTAACGATGCCATGAACAGTCTTGTCTTCACGCGATGCCAGGATCGACACAACGCAACGTGTTTCTGCAATTGATGGAAGCGGAGCGGGATGCCACAATCAATTTGGAGGCAACCAGCGGCGGAAGAGACTCGATAGTGGAGGCTGGAAGTAAATCAAGGAGGGCGTTGAAGGCACAACTCGATTGAAGGCGGCTGGAGGTTGGTAAGCCTCATTGAGAGAAAGATAAGATGGGAAAAAGTGCTGACACGTGGTCCCTACTAATTTTTATTCATTTATTTCTGACTAGACTGGCACGTGTATGTCACTGTATAGGATCGATACCATTTCGCATTGAGTAGGGAGGGGAGGGTTAATTTGTACAATTTAAAAGGTTTATAGTGTAAAATGGCTATGTGGGGGGGGGGGGTAAATTGAAAAGAAATTTGGGAATAATTAAATGGACAAACATTGCTGTAAATAATGTGAAAAATATTTATATTTTTGAACGATATTCAAATAGTAGAAGAACAGAGGGAGTATTAAATTACAGGTTGCTTTCCCTCGCCCGTGGTGCGAAAAATCCATCTATTGATACTGCTTGCTACATTTAATTGTTCAGCTATCACACATCGACAAAGGGCAACTCCTGGATTCAATTAAGCAAATAGTCAATCTGATTGGATTCGATTAGATCTACCAAACAGCTTGCTGACTGGCTAGTCAAAAAGGGTACTAGATACATGTCCAATCCAACAGGGGATCGAGATAAGATAGTGATGTACTCAGCAGTTTGCATGAAATTTCGCGTGTACGTATAATACTCCTACGTGAGGATCTCGCCGGATGGATTCGCTGCCATTAATTCCTTCCGACCGAGCTTAGCTTAGCTTGTGTGAACTCCGTACGTACGTTCCGTTCCGTTCGTCAACAAGACTTGAACCTATACTATGTAACGTAACGTACGAGGATTAGTTAGGACAAGGCAAATACTCCTAGTAGGCAATGTAATCCAAAAACTCTCCTATTCGAGCGCCCGATAAAAACAGAAATATCATACGCTAGTACATGATCAGGAAGAACATAGAAATGCTTTTTTTTTAACGGAAGAACATAGAAATGTGATATCACACACTTTGAATTCCTACAAGTTTCCAAAGCACATGAACTCAAGAGGTTGTGCCTGTGGATGATTAGTAAGAATACAATGTTTAGTGCAAGAGAAATACTAGAAAGAGAGTGCACAGCCGGGGCTTCTAGGAAAAACGACATAAGGGCCTCGTTCACTCCTGGCTAACATACATATTCTAAACTGATATATAGTACGCTTTTTAAATTGTTATTTGGTATGTTTCATGGAAAAAAACTTACTTATATAGGAGTTGCCTTAAAATATTAAATAAATTTATTTTTTAAGTTTATAATAATTAAAACTTAATTATCGTATGCTAATAACTCTTTTTTTCATCCGCTAACTTTATCTTCATCTTTATTGAAAACAAATGGGGCCAAGATCTAAGCTATGGAACTGAGTCATAGAAAGCAAATCCACATGATTTCTGTCAATCATATTCGTTCGTTCCAAAGATACTAATAGGAAAAATGGAGGCAATGGCGGATCCAGAAAATTGATTCGTTGGTATCATAACATGTCTATCGGTGTCATAGTATGCTAATTAATTATACTTAGATCATGGTGTTATAACATATATATGGATAAACAGTTTTGCTATATTCCCTCCATCTACTTTTGATAGTCATATTTTTAAATCTGAAAAATTTATTTTTATAGGCATATTTCAATCCAACAACCTATCATCTTAATAACTTTCTTGGATTTAATGCGTGACTCTCCATTCTTCCACACAAGATTGGCTACATGGGCATCGAGAAATGTAAATATTAATAAATCATTTGTTTACAAGGAATGACTAGTAGCATTGGTCTGTATGCCAAGATAAAATATGACTATCAAAAATAGATGGAGAGAGTAAGTTTTACTGAAAGTCGTCGGTGTCGCCTGACACCAGCCCTTCCACTGTAGATCCGCCCTGACTGGAGGACTGATATAATACTAGAAAGAGAGTGGATGGTTTGTAAGAAATACAATGTTTGACAGTCTGGGAGAGATAGAGTGTCCAACCAAACACTACCCTATTCTCTATCTTCTTTTTGGAAACACGGTACATACGTAGCACACTCATTCTTGAACGTACACGAACAATATTTTATCCCTACGAGCAATTTCAAAGATTGGGTCGGCATATATTGAGATTAATAAAATTATCACTCACCATGAACACGTCGCTATTGATGGGTGGTGCATCGTATATTACTGAAAAAATAATTAGTCGTAAATACAAGCACTCCTCCTAAATCTAGATTTTAAAATTGGGTGGGCAGGTTCCACCACAATAGACCTTACCAGTTGAGCTAAGCTCAGTTTGCATCCTATTCTCAATTTTTTAAGAACGAGCGTGTGAATTTGTTTAAAATAAATATAGAAATAGTGGACCTATCTTTTCCTAGCTCTATAACTGCATTCCATTTTAGATCTTGAGCCTCTACCAAACATCCTCGGAGTATAAAGTACAAGAAGTTTATATGATGTTATACATTGTTGTAATTTTTAAGGTAAATATGTGCGTACTATTTATTTTTCATTTTAAACTAAGTATATAAGAGAAATTACTGCTAGCTAAAGTTTCAAATGTTTAAATGAATTTTAATGTAAGCTAACCTAGAATATTTATGATGGAAGGAGGACACCAGAAGTAGCTACGCCTACGAGATAGGCAGTCCCTCTGTCCCATAGAATTAAAAACCGAAGCAAGTATCGGATGTGACATATCATCTCAACAGATGTATATCTATATTTGTTGTGTATTATGATGTGTTACATATTTAGTATTAGGTTGTTTTTTTATAGGATGGAGGGAGTATTTATTTGCCAATTCAACAAGCTGTGGGTGGTCCAGTGAGTACTACTGTATGTTCACGTTTTACCTAGCTGCAGTGGCTCGGACGATCGGAGTCAAAGTCAAGTGCAAGAGCTTGCATATGTATGTATGTATGCTTTGGGTGCAAGTCGAAGCTACACCACGCCCTTTCCCCTTTACAAGTTAACCGCATAGACGATCACCGATGGGACCGACATGTCAGTGGGCCGTAACGTACGACTAATTAGTGCCGTACGGCAGAGGATATGCATGTGTCCACGTTAACGACTGACTTAATTGGGCGGATAGATTGACCGACCTTTATTAACCCGTCGATCCATGCAGCTAATACATAGTACAAGCCCAGGACCAAACTGAAGCAAGCTAATTAAGCTAGCTAGCAGTAATCGATCGACTGAGCTGCTAGCTAAGATATAAGTCTTTAGTTATCCGATCGATCAATCGAGGAGGATGAAAGCAAGTTCGATACTGATGGCATTATCCGCGGCCGTGCTGGGCTTCTTCATTGGCATCTCTTTTCCAGTACAAATCACACCAAAGGTAACCTATGTTACTTATTACCTAATTAGTACACATGTATATATGTATATGTCCTTAATTATATACATATATATATATATATGGAAAATTTAATTTAATTTATATATACTCATGAATATCTGTGCAATTGTACGTACGTGCATGCATTGCAGCTTGAATATTGCGCCTTTCTAATCCCTTGCGGTACAAACACAAACTCCAGCTCCTCGGCCAGCAACATCAACATACTCAACAAGTACATGTCGTTGTGGGCGGCACCATTTTCCGTCCGTAACAGCACCACTGCCAACTTTTCGTCAAACGCCACTATTTCAGGGCCGGTATAATATATATCTCGTCTAGCTACTATATATATATAGTGATATATATACAACGTAACTGTGTCGAACTAATTAATACTAATAACCAATTTAAGTAATACAAAAACGTGCGCAATTATATATATTGATGATGCTTGCAGAAGGAGAAGAGCAAGATAGAAGCAGAAGCAGTACAGGTGTCGAGGAAGAAAGCAGCAGAGGAGAGGCTGCCTCCGGGCATCGTCGTCCGGGAATCTGATCTTCATCTCCGCCGCCTCTGGGGAAACCCAACATCCGTATGATCGATCTGATCTTCATCTCTGCTTGCGCCATGCACAGGCCTCCATCACATATCGATGTCAGTGTAGCTAGCTTCTATGTATCGATCGATCGATCTCTTACATGCATGTTTGTATGAATGTACGTACAGGACGTGGCGAGTGGCAAGCAGTACCTTCTGACCATGTCGGTGGGTTACACCGAGAAAGCCAATGTCAATGCAACTATTCACAAGGTCATTAACTAACTGATCAGTAATTAATACTTACAAGATATATATGCCAGGTCCATTAATTGATTGATATATTCAAAATTAACACCTAGTAAATGCAATATACGCGCAGTTATCAGACAAGTTTGACATAGTGCTGTTCCATTACGACGGGCGCACAAGTGAATGGGAGGAGTTCGAGTGGTCCAAGAAGGTTGTTCATGTCAGCGCCAGGAAGCAGGCCAAATGGTAACCTCCCTGTAGCTACTCCATGCATGTCTCGATATATATATATCAGACATCATTATTACATATATTAAGCATGCATGAATGCATATATGGCTAAATGTGAGATCGAATTGATGAATTTAATTTCTTGCAGGTGGTTTGCCAAGAGGTTCCTGCACCCGAGCATCGTTGCGGCGTACGAGTACGTGTTCGTGTGGGATGAGGATCTGGGAGTTGACAACTTCACCGCGGAGGAGTACATCAGCATCGTCAGGAAACACGCCCTGGACATCTCGCAGCCGGGGCTCGACGGCACCAAAGGGAGGAGACAGTACCCTGTCACCGTCAGGAGGCCCTCCGGCGACATGCACAACTCCGGCAGGTTCGTCGAGGTGATGGCGCCTGTCTTCTCCAGGGACGCCTGGGCATGCGTCTGGCACATGATCCAGGCAAGCGCATTACGTACTATTTCTGAATTTATTCTCACTTACAGTTAATTTCAGCCAAAAGTAAACGAGAACCGAATGAAATCTGCAATTCTGCATGCATGCAGAATGACTTGGTTCATGGTTGGGGTCTCGACTTCAATTTCTGGAGATGCGTCCACGTAAGTACTTCTAATTACTACGACTCTGCAGCTCCATCTACATTATTCAGATTGTCATATGCTGTGGTACTATATTATATTATTGTGCTTGAAGAAATTGATCGATCGATCGATCATAATTAATTTGCATGCAGGAGCCTGAAAAGCATATAGGTGTCGTGGATGCGCAGTTCGTAGTCCATCGCGGCGTCCCAACGCTCGTAAGCCAGGTATATAGGTCAATTCTCTATGTGTCCCTAAAATTTCACGTGGTCCTTCGCCTGATCTTGAGATTTGCTTCATCTCTTATATAGAGTTTTTGTTACGATTTCTTATATATAATTCCGTTAGTAACCGTTAAAATGATCTTATTGCCCTGATTGATATATCAATAAAAGCTAACAATGTTCTACGTTCTATACAAGAATTATATTTGGATTGTGAAAAAAATAGTATGAGATAAATTACTAAATATGCACTTTCAAAATTCATTTTTTAAAAATGATTTTATTGAAACTAAAAAAATGTGAAATTTTGCACCAAATTTAAAAGTAACTTTTTAATGAATATGTAGTTAAAAATGTGGGTTTTGTCATAACCATGTACCCTACTTATGTCACTATTATCACTTCATGCAAAGATTTTTTTTTTAAAAAAAACGTTTTTCTTATTCAGTGCATTTTTTTTAATATGCATTTCAGCCACTCTAATAATTTTGTGTAATTGCTCTCAAAAAATATTTTTTTGTCTAATTGAACATTGCTATTTACTGTAAGAATGCTTAAAATTTTGTAATATATATAACTAGCGACAATATAATAGTCATAAAAAAAACTTAATGGTAAACTATAACCGAATGGATGTTTAAGGGATCAATGAAGAAACTCGGGGATATGAAAAGGATCAGATAAATTCTACAACATAGAAAGGGTTAGTAATATATTTAGGAGGTATACAAAGAATTTCTCCATATGTGTACCTTGCCAGTTACTTGAGGTTTAATTTGAACCCGCAACTAGCTTGGTTGATTAAACGCTAGTTCATCAATAATTGTCTTTCTCTTGACAAATAGGGCAATGGAGAACAAGATGGAAGTAGTGCCAAGGTATGTAAAATACAACTATCTATCTGTTTGGACAAATTTTGTAGTCCTTACAAAGTACTTGCATGTACCAAAGAGCTATATTAAAAATTTTGTTAATTTACCTCGAGATACCTTAGAGGTATTAAATTTTACATTGCACATACCGATATCTACTCAAGAAGGGTAAAATCATTTTACTGTTTACGTATATGTCTATACTTACAACATTCTGAGAAAATCTCTCACGTTAACGAGAAAGATAAGCTGGACGTTAATGAGCAGAACAAATTATCACTGTATATAGTGAAATTTAATTGAAACCCTAAATAAGCACAACTCCAGAAAATCTAACTGATACTTCAAGTTGAGTACAGCACATTATTGTTTATTGATTCCGAATTTGGAATTATTAATCGTACAAAGATTGATCTATAATTGACTCCCCAAGCCAACTAATTAAAACAGGTATTTGTTAATCCCAAATAATCAGACTAACTTAGGAACCCAACAGAAATACAACTTAGATACGCATATATATGATATTTTTGTTTTTAATAGACAACATCATTTGACATGACGTTTGACTATTTATGTTATTAAAAATATATAAAAACTGTATCATTTATTATGATTTATTTTATTATTAAAGAGACTTAAAAGGATGATTTATATTTCTACATATTTGCACTAATTTTTTAAATAAGATAAATGATGAAACATAACGCTAGAAGTTAACAACGTTAGCTATTAATTAAAATGGAGAGTATATAATATTAATATCATTATTACTCCCTCTAATATTGAGTACTCAACAAGCAGATCGATCGTAAAATATTTGTGCAAAAGAACTTGAGACTTGTTAAGTATTAATAGAGATTTGCTCCAGTCCAATAAAAAGTATCTCGAGGTACCGGTACCTCACGATACCTAATTGTTTTCGATCGTTAGATCTAATAATGCTCATCTTGCCAGCTAGATCCAACGATCGTAAATGTTTTGGTACCGTGAGATATCGGTACCTTAAGGTATTTTTTATTGGACCGGAGAAAATTACGTATTAATATCTTGTACACAATGTAGGTGAGATCCCGGCAGTTTGAGGAGATGCATACCTTCGACCGCAGAATTGCCAGCGCCGACAAGGCCCAAGCCAACGCCACCGCAGCAGAGCAGCATCGCTGAGAGATTAACACCAACAATATAGACCTATATAGAACTCTAGATCATGTCCTGTTGATTTGATTAACCAGATTTAGTTAAAAAAGATCATTTTGTGGCCAAACATAAGGCATACACTAGTACACTACTGTAAACTAGGCTCATATGAGAGCATGGGCTGCTAGAATATTAGTAGATGCTTTATTAGTTTATTTTCATCCATTGCCTAAAAAAATGTGTTGATTCTTCTTGTAACTTCGTTTTCTCCTCTTTTAGACCCCCTTCACGTTGACTTAATTTGTATTTGCATTGGTTTGCAAGATCTCATTACATTATAGAGTGAAGTGCATGGACGGTATCTTAACTTATACAGGTGTGTCATCTCTAAATCTCTAAATTTTGAGAATACATTTTCGGATTAGTGGGACCCACATATCATACAGGTTTAAACACACTCCAACCCACTCCGTGCGCTGACTTATCATTCTATGGTAGTGCCTACGTATTTGTGGGATTCACATGTCCGTCACAGAATTTTTATTTAAAAAAATCTTTTCTCCTCTCTACCTTAAATTTTTTTTAAAAAAATATATCTTTTCTCCTCTGTCTAAGAGGCGTCGGCAGCTATATGGAGGTCGAAGACCGCCAGATCTGGCCACTTGGATCTGGCCGCCACGTGCTTGGCTTCGATCGGATCTGACCGAGCGGTCAATTCGACAGCAACCACCCTCTTCACCATCTTGTTCTTCGATGGCCATGTCCATGCCGCAGCTTCTTCTCCCCTCTTGTGATTTATGAATGATTTTGTGAATGTTTAGTTGGGTTTGGAGGAGTAATTGAACAACATGCTTATGCGAATGATTTTGTGATTGCAATTGGAGATTCTTCATGCCTATTCGGTTACAACATGCCTATGGGGATTGGGGGGCAATCGATTCAATTCACTGAGGCGGCTTTTTTTTTATTTGTCGCCCCTCTATTGGTGCTAGTTGTCAATCCAAGCTCATCAAGCACCGATGGGGGGGCTCCTACCCAGCGCGTGCGCGGGGGGAGAATAAGTCACACACGGATTGGATAGGAATCGGCGATAGCGGGGTCCACTTGCATGTTTCCAGTTTTTTCTCCCACGCGCGCATGTTTATTTTTTTTTATTTTTTTCTGTTTTCCTTTCGTTTTTTTGGGAAAAAACGTGTTTTTCCCCCTTTATTTTAGGACACGGTAAATTGGGACAGGAACGGAGAGTTGACTCTAACAAACTTTTAAAGTGAAGATTTACAATTTTTAACTTAGACTTGAAAACTTTTAAGCCAAGATTTGGATTTTTTGAAACTTTCAACTTAGATTTGAAAATATTCAAGTCAAGATTTAAAAACTTTCAACTCGGATTTAAAAACTTTCAATTCGGATGTGAAAACTTTCAACTAAAGACTGGAATCTTTTAACTCAAATTTGAAAACTTTCATCTCAAAATTAAAATCATTCAACTTAAATTATAAAAACTTTCAAACTTAGAATTCAAAGATTTTAATTAAAATTCTAAAAACTTTTGACTCAAAATTTGAGTTGAAAGTTTTCAAATTCGAGTTGGAAGTTTTCAAATTTGAGTTGAAAGTTTTATAAATTTGACTTGAAAGTTTCCAAAGTTCGGGTTGAAAGTTTTTAAAATTCGAATTGAAAGTTTCAAATTTCATGTAGAGATTTTTAAACCTTTAGTAAAAATGGGAAAAAAATCTGAAAAAAGAGAATGTTGATTAATAGTGTGATTATCGGAAGTAAAAAAACTAATCACGATTTTTCCTCCGAATCCGCGTGCGCGCGTGCCCCCCGTCGTTTCGTTGCACAAAGAAAAATTAGACTCGCTTCCTTACTGGTGGGCCGGAATAGAACACAGTGAAGTGGGCTAGAAACACGCGCTAGATCGATAAGTAGCGCGTCTGCGCTAATTATCGTTTCCGCCGATGAGGTCCTCTTATGAGTGCCGGGAGTGAGGTAATTAATGGTTTCAATATCCAGAACTTATACGTGTTTTGGAACAGTGGTATATTCCTATTCAACAAATTAAGGTCAACTGCATTAGCTGCATATATAGTATCCGCTGGTTTCATGCATATACGCGTATGATTCGAATGCATGTATGCTTTGGGTGCAAGTCGAAGGAAGCTAGGTAAGGTAGGTCGTAAGTGACCTTTCCCCTGTACAAGTTAACGACTGACTTATTTGGCCGGAATCGGATCCATCCATTGATACCTCCTCCTTTATTAACCAGTCATCGTCCATATTTGAATGCGCAGCTATAGGCTATAGCTAGTCGATCCAGGAGCAAAGCACAGCGACAATCAAGCTAGCTAAGCATGCTAATGATCGATCGAGCTTCTGCTAGCAGCTAGCTGGTGCGATCGATCGAACAGCTTAATTGTTGGTTGATAAGTTTATTAGCTTAGCAAAAGCAGGTCGAAGATGAAAGCAGCAAGTTCGATCTTTACGGCATTATCCGCGGCCGTGTTCGGCTTCTTCATTGGTATTTCTTTTCCTGTAGAAATCACACCAAAGGTGAGTAAATATATTCCATACATACATGTACAGTATATATGTCTAAACCTACTCGATGGATCAATCTTTATATATATATCTAAACAAATGAATATATATATATATATATATATATATATATATATATATATATATATATATATATATATATATATATATATATATATATATATATATATATATTTGTGCATGCAGCTTCAGTATTGTGCCTTTCTCCCTTGCGACGGTACAAACACGAACTCCAGCTCCAGCAGTGACAGCAACAACAACATGCTCAACTTCTGGGCACCATCCGTCAGAAACAGCACTAGTGCCCCGTCGAATGCCACTATTTCAGGGGTACACTACTACTACTACTACTACTACTACTACTACTACTACTACTACTTTGTGTTCGATCGTGATATATACACTAGCTAGCTACCTCATATCATACGGATTTTTACCTGCAGCTGGATCGTACCTAGCGGTTCTTCTTTCTCGGACAGTACACTAGTAAAGGCAGTAGTTTGTCTGAATTTACATATATATGAACGATCGATCTGTCTCGTAACCAATTTACATATCGATCGATCGGGCTGTGCTTGCAGAACGGTACAACGACAGCAGCAGCTGCAGTGGCGAAAAAACCGCAAGGAGCGGAGAGGCTGCCTCCGGGTATTGTTGTCCGGGACTCTGATCTTCATCTACACCGCCTCTGGGGCCACCCAACATCGGTACATGCTACAGCTATATATATGCATTATGTCTGTCTATCTTCTCATCGATCACTTGGTGCACAGGCCGCTTGTATCTATACTACTTTAGAAGGTAGTAGTACTTTAGAGCTGGTGGTGACAGTGAATCTGCCACCACCAGCTCTATCACCTACATGTGGGGACTCTTCCTGTCTTGTCCGTGAAACTTGCATGCTCACTAAATTCAAACGCCTTCTAAAAGAAACATGTCTATTGTCGAAGCAAAATAATGTCAATATTCTTTGGTGAGGTAAGATAAGTATGTAGGGAATTAATCCACATAGTTAAGGGATTAGAAATTGCATGTATGTAGATTTTTCAAGGATGAGTACACTACTACACAAATGATTTTTTCTCAACAAGCACCTTATAGGTTGTAGGCGGGTCATAAATATCCGCGTCTGCAAAAATCAATCCCCATTTTCGCATACAGCTTCTTAAGAGGTCCATATGTAAAAATTAATTTTCGCAAGCTGGTCTCTAGAAGAACCACACGCGAAAATACTTATGTTTTTGCATGCGGGCCTGTTAAGTAATCCGCATGAAAGAATCACCCCCTCCCTCTTTTCCAACTCTTCTTTTATTTTATTCTCCACTCCATTGTCTTTCTCTCTCCCACTCCTCTTCACTCCGGTCTACTCCTCATGCGGGTGCGCCATCCACACGCAAAAGTAGCGAATTTCGCAGACACCTACTCCCTCCGTCCCAAAAAAAGACAAACCCTGGTTTCCGTGTCCAACGTTTGACCGTCCGTCTTATTTGAAAAAATTATAAAAAAATTAAAAAGATAAGTCATGCATAAAGTATTAACCATGTTTTATCATCTAACAACAATGAAAATACTAATTATAAAAAAATTCATATAAGACGGACAGTCAAACGTTGGCACGGAAACCCAGGATTTGTCTTTTTTTTGGACGGAGAGAGTAGGTGCGTGCGAGTCACCCAACTGCCTACGAAAATCAGATTCGACCGTATGGAAAAATGCTTTTTGTAGTAGTGGTATGCGCACGAAGATTATTATTATTATTAGCCATTGTATAGAACATAAGAGCAGCCACATCCAAAGATCAAGAATAAAACAACCACATCACAGATCAAGAACAAGCTAGTCACATTGATTCAATTATTCGTCTTACACCATCAACAACAGAACAACCAACCACATCACATACCGATATCGAAATCCTTCTACATTCAACACACGAAGAAAGAGGCCACCGCTGCCTCGCCTATGGACTTATGGGCCTCACCGTCATCGTCCACCGTCGCTAGCTGTGAGTCGAGGATGAGAGAAGAGGGTGGAGATCGATGGAGTACTTGCGATGTTGACTTAAGGCCTGGTTTCTCTTATTAATTAGTCGTACTAGCTAGCTAGGCACGTGGATGAGTGGAAAATCGTTCCTATCAATACCGGTTTTTGGCTAAACCGGCACTAATAAAGCGTATATATAATTGGGCCATTCTATTGTAGTAGTAGTGTATGATTTTATTCTTAACTGATCATATATGGAGTATGTATGTACGTAATGTGTATACAGGACGTTGCGAGTGGCAAGCAGTACCTTGTGACGCTGACGGTGGGGTACACTGAGAAAGACAACATCAATGCAACTGTTCACAAGGTCGCTCGCTCATTAACTTATTACTCGATCCTATATATTTGCAGACTTAATGAATAATAATAGGAATATAATACATGCAGTTATCGGACAAGTTTGACATAGTGCTGTTCCATTACGACGGTCGGACGACTGAATGGGAGGAGTTCGAGTGGTCCAAGAAGGTTGTTCATGTCAGCGCCAAGAAGCAGACCAAATGGTAATTAACTACCTACTCCAATTAATCCAACTGTTAATTAATTAGCTGAATTGATTGATCATCATATCGATCAGTATATAGTAAATGCATATGAATTGAATTGAAATTGAATAGGTGGTTTGCGAAGAGATTCATGCATCCGAGCATCGTGGCGCCATACGAGTACATATTCCTGTGGGATGAGGATCTGGGAGTGGACAACTTCAGTGCGGAGGAGTACATCAGCATCGCCAGGAAGCATGGCCTGGGGATCTCGCAGCCGGGGCTCGACGCCACCAAAGGGAAGAGATCACGCTACACGGCCACCGCCAGGAGGCCCGCCGGCGACATGCACACCTCCGGCAGGTTCGTCGAGGTCATGGCGCCCGTCTTCTCCAGAGACGCCTGGGCATGCGTCTGGCACATGATCCCGGCAAGTGTCCTATCCATCGCATTCATTATATTAATTCTGACTTACAGTAGTATTGGTTAGTATTTCAGTCAGACATAAACGAACTAACGATCAATATAATGAATCTGCATGCATTGTATGTACGCAGAATGATTTGGTCCACGGCTGGGGTCTCGACCACAATTTCTGGAGATGCGTCGACGTAAGTTCATACTGCTAGCTTATTAGCTGCAAACACTGGCGATCTCTACATTCAGATCGATGTACACTGAAATAATGTACTGCTTAATTTAAAAAAATCGATCGAATCATGCATTCATTCATATATATATTGGCAAAGCAGGAGCCTGAAGAGCATATAGGCGTCGTGGATGCGCAGTTCGTTGTCCATCGCGGTGTCCCAACGCTCATAAGCCAAGTAACTAAAAACAATATCTATTATCCCATAATGCAACTAGCTTTGGTTAAATTATACACTACTCCTACCATATTTAATTGTGTTTTTCTCTCCACATATATACAGGGCAACGGAGAACAAGAAGGGAGCAGTGCCAAGGTAAGTCGTACAATTAACTGTATTATTCTAAGTAGCTACTCTCTTAACTCCTCAAATACTATTTGATACGGCATGCACACTGTTTTTAAGTTTAAACTTCAATCTTACCTTCTTTTAAGAATATATGAATATTTTAAAATATGTTATATTATCGAAGTGTGTATATATAGCATCATAAATATAATCGTACAACTTTTATTCATAGTATATATTACTCTTTCCGTATTTTAATGTATGACGCCGTTGACTTTTCGACCAACGTTTGACCATTCGTTTTATTCAAAATTTTTATGCAAATATGAAAATATTTATGGCATGCTTAAAGAACATTCGATAACGAATCAAGTCATAATAAAATAAATGATAATTACATAAATTTTTTGAATAAGACAAATGGTCAAACGTTGGACAAAAAGTCAACGGCGTCATACATTAAAATATGGAGATAGTATAATCTATACTCTTAAAATGGTAAGGATGGTGGTGTCTATTTTGACCGTACATCTCCTTGATACCTGGGACCCAAAATGTTGGTGAAGGGATGACGCTCCAGTCTGGATCAATCGGCCTCTCTCTCTCTCTGTGCGCACGCGCTTCCTCCGCTACTGGCTGCCGCTACTAGGGGTGGACAGGGAGCTCGTGGCTCGTTAGCTCGCTCGGCTCGTGACAAGCTCGGCTCGGCTCAGCTCAGCTCGTTTGATTTTTCTAATGAGCCGAGCTAGAAGTTTAGCTCGTTAGAGATAACATGAGGTACTTGAGAAGGTACCATGAGGTACCATTTTTTCTATTGTAAATTTGGTACCTCATGAGATACTTGAGGAGGTACCATAAGGTACCATTTTTTCTATTGTAAATTTGGTACCTAGGTACCATGAGGTACAAAATTTTACACTAAATTTTTGGTACCTCGTGGTACATCCTCAAGGATCGTAGAATTGCTCCTCTCTCTCTCTCTCTCTCTCTCTCTCTCTCTCTCTCTCTCTCTCTCTCTCTCCGCGCGCGCTTCCTCCGCTACTGGCTACCGCTACCAAGCCTTCATATACTTCTCACGTAGCCTACTCTCTCTAGCCCCCTTCCTCAACCCGTGCACCTACTCCCTCCGTCCCAAAACAATTCAACCTAGGATGGGATGTGACCCTTTCTACGACAACGAATCTAGATAAGCCTTTATTCAGCTTCGTTATCCTAAGATGGGTTATTTTGAGATGGAGGGAGTATTTCAGATATGCAAGAAAAAAATCCAAAAAAAAAGTTGGGTTTAGGTGCCACCTACTGAGCTTATTGGGTCTATGAGGCAAATTTGGTCTCTTTGGCTAGGAATAAGTTCACTATAGGTCCCTCAATCTATCGCCGAGTTTGCAATTCATCCCTGAACCAAATACCAGATATAATGGGTCCCTAAACTTACAAAATCGAATCACTCGAGGTCCTAAGCAATATTATATTCGGTTTGTTTTTTTTTTCTTAAGGGCTCATTAGATATGCCATCTTTTACAAGAGGGCCCAGGTAAATTAAAAAAAAATTGAGGGTTATGTAACCAATCAATTCAATGTATTTACAATAAGGAAAATTATATAAAATTTACTATAGTTGGATTAAATATGTGTTCAATTGTTTTGATAAGCTAGGAATTTGGCTTTTGACTAGTTATTAAAAAGTAATTTGTGTACTAGTTATTAAATATATTAATGTATAAAAAAACTTGACGTAATATATATATTCCTGTAGATGTTAATTAATACATATCTGGTGTGTAAATACGTAGGTGAGATCCCGGCAGTTTGACGAGATGCGCACCTTCTACCGCAGAATCGCCGACGCCGAAAAGGCTCAAGCCGACGCCACGGCAGCTGCAGCAGATCATCATCGCTGAGTTATTAATTAACAATTAACGTCAGCCTAGACCTCTACATCATATATATCGTCTCGGATGATCAAATTAACCAGATTTAGTTACAAAGAGGCAGGTTCTTTGGGGGGCAAAATTAACTAGGCTCACGAGAGCACATATGAACTAGTTTAGTATACATGGCATGGTTAATTTGAAAGTTAAAAAAACATTTGACAGCCAAAGAGATAATGTGAGCACTTTAATTGAGAAATCGAATATGGGATCATGGGGTTAAAACTGCACCCTACAGTACCAAATATACATCTCAAGCCAAATAGTACTAAAAACGACTTCAATTGATTTGCATTGATTGCCTCAAAAGAAATTTGTGTTGATTCAATTCTTCCTCTAGCTACCTTCTCTTTTTCTCCTCTTTTAATTTGACTCATTGCGTACGTGTTGACTTTATGTTGATTAAGCTAGGTCTCGTTTAATTTCTGTAATAAATCAGTTGAACTTCTGGTGTAGTAATATATAGTATCTACACAATATTGGTCGGTTCATAATATAATATTATATTGTTTGTTGTTGTCAATAACATACTCCCTCCGTCCCAAAAAAAGACAAACCCTAGTTTCCGTGTCCAACGTTTGACTGTCCGTCTTATTTAAAAAAATTATGAAAAAAATTAAAAAGACAAGTCACGCATAAAATATTAATCATGTTTTATCATCTAACAATAATGAAAATACGAATTATAAAAAAATTTCATATAAGACGGACAGTCAAAGTTGAACATGAAAACCTAGGGTTTATCTTTTTTTTTTTGGGACGAAGGGAGTATGGAGTATGGCTTAATTTGTCAACATGTACATGCATGGCTACGTGTCGAGAGAAAGGAAAAGCATGCTTGTGGAGAGAAATTGCTTCTGCTATAGCTAGCACTTCATATTTGACTTCAGAGCATATATAGTAATCTTCAGGTTTATAGACTAAAGTATAGTTAAATTCATGGCTTTCTAGGCGACGGCTGACTAATTAAACTAGGCCGGCCGGTTTCCGAACCAGGCAAGTTGTGTACTATATATACTAGTAGTACTAATTGACCGATTAATTCATTGGTTCACAGAGATTGAGTACATATATATGCTTGATACCGATGAAATCGATGGTATATAGCAGCAGACTCAACGGCCGGATTCAATTATAAAATCGACATTATGTTCATTGTATTTCATGCTGAGATCGATGATGGCTTTTTCCAATAATCAATCATATATGTGTGTATGTTGACCTTGGAGCCTGTGCTGGTCAATGCCAACGATATGGTTGATCGGACTGGATTTAATTTGTCGCTTGCTTAATTTCACCCTAATTAAACGAAACCCTCATATATAGTTTCATCATCAAAATCCGCAAGTGCGTGCAGCATGCATGTTAAGACACAGAGAAATCAACGTCTGAGTGCATTGATTGAGTCTAACCTACTCCCTCCGTTCCGAAAAACCCAACCTAGAAAGAGATGTAAGAGATGTAACCTTTATAGTACAACGAATCTGGACAAACTATAGTAGGAGGGGTCGGTTGGGTTTTTTTGGACAGAGTACTCTCTTCTTCTTAAATATGTTCTATAATCTAGTATGAAATGTGACACATTCTATAGGCTTCTATCTAGATTTGCAATATCATAATTTGTATCACATTTTATATTAGATTAATTTATTCTGTGACAGAAGTAGTACAAATGACTAGATCTTAATTAATGTGCACATTTGCGAGTGGTGACCTATCTAATCAATTTAACCACCTTGGCACCTTCACATGAAAAAAATTAACCACCTTGGTTTATCTGAAAAATAAGCATTATACCCTAGCTATAGATGGCCAAATGGGCCGCCTACATGGTCCGGCCCAAACACAACTAAGGCACGGTTCAAGATCAGTTGAGCCCGCATGGCCCGACTGACACGTCGTGTTATGCCCGCTCATGGGCTGCACCTATGTTCTAGGCATGACGAGCAAAACCCACTGTGCTCGTCCTTGGAATAATTATATTTCGCCTCCCTCATCTCTTTATGCCGTGCCTTATATATGACTGGAATAAGTCTATTTACCTCCCTTATCTCTTTGAGTCGGCCGCCAACGGACTACAGCCTGCAGGAGCGGGGGATGTCGGGCTGCGGTTGTGCTGATCGTTGGGTCATGCCGTGCCGAGGAAGAGTCCCAGGTACAATCCAACGGCCGGGTTGGGCCGTGCTGTGTTTGGGTTGGGCCAAATCTCTGTGTCGGACGTAAGTCGGGCCGTCGGGGTACGAGCCTTTGGCGAACTGGCTTTAATTTGTATGCATTTTTCCTAAGCTAATAAAGTCAATCTTACCTGAAAATTTAATTTAACAAAGAAAACCCTGATACACAGTAGGTTCCATTCGCTGCGGCTGGCGGGCTGCAGCAGCAAGCTAGCACATACGGTTTTTCTTTTCTTTTTCTTTTTTTTCATTTGCTGCTGCAGCATAGCCACAGCGCTGTCAAAGATTGGGCTCCCAACAAACGCATAAATACCCACACTGCCACACAGACGCAAAAACAAATATACTACATTTGTCCTAAGTTCAACATTTCAATATTTATAAATTCATATAGTTTAACATCATAAGTTTTATATTCTCAAAACTTGTCGTGAGAAATGCTTTCTTAATATTCAGTTCATATGTTGTTAAACTATACAAGTTTCTAAGAATTAATGGTTTGGTATAGAAATATTTGATTTGGGATAAACCTAAAATGATGTACTACCATAATAAAAATGTCCAGTACCATTAGGTTGGAAAGAAAGTGAGCTTAGAGCACAACCAAATTAATCTAACTAGTGTTGATTTTTTTTTAAAAAAAATTGCTAGTGTTACTAAATTTCTAGTGTGTACTATAGTAGTATATACTAACAGTTAGCAGAAGCAATAGTTAAACTGCTCACAGTTGTGTACATCAAATTTGTATTAGTGTACATTAAATCTCACGCTAGTACTTGATGGACTCTCATTCTGTCGTGCTTAATACAGCAACAAATAAAGTCAATAAGCGTAAGCGATGAAGAAAATGGATGGTGTGGCAGAGATATTAAGCAGGAAGAACACACAACGGCTCTTCTTCAATTCGGAGATGAGAATCAGACAGACACCACCGAGATCGACGCGATGAAGACGATCGATCGCCGACGGCAGCCGTAGCCGCCGCCGCCCCCTAAGCCGGCCGCCGGAGCAGCCGCCTCCATCCCCTCGCGAACCGCCGGCCGTACGTGCAACCTTCGGTATCCAAATTTACAGTTTTAAAAAACCTACGCACTTTTTTATTCAACAGTTATATACTCTCAATTTTAATTAGCACACCACTGCTTAAGTCGTTGGTAGGACTAGGAGATCCTTTTCATTAAACTAGTGGATTTCCCGCGTAAATTTCTTGGAGCCTTGATTTTCAAAGCAGAATAGGATTCGATATACAACTTTTAGTTTATGTTTTTCGTTTGTACAGTTGTAGCCTTTTATATACAGTAGGATTTTAAAGATATACATGTATTGGGTGTACAATACTTTTTTTTTCCTCATATGTAGTGTGCAACTGTATTTTATATACAACTTTATCAATCAATTTGTACGGTTATAATCTAAACTCACAATGACCAAATGGTGTATATCTTTTTTATTCTCTGATATGATTAACCTGGTAATTTCTACACCTCCAAAACAGAGATGGCGGCTTCTTTTTTTAGCTATCTTAGTAATACAGTATAATATAAGAGAAATTTTACAGTACTTAAGAAAGTAACTGGAGGTATCAACTTTTACACTACAAATGTCATACATTCTCAAGGATGATAAAAATTACCCATAACATAAGTATGATAATAGATACAAGGTAGATAAAACTAGGTGGTGTTTGGATCCAGAGACTAATTAGAAGTATTAAACGTCGGATGTTTGAACACTAATTAGAAGTATTAAACGTAGACTAATAATAAAACTAATTGCATAAATGTGAGCTAATTCGCGAGACAAATTTTTTAAGCCTAATTAATCCATAATTAGCACATGTTTACTGTAGCATCACATAGGCTAATCATGTATTAATTAGGCTCAATAGATTCGTCTCGCGAATTAGTTCAGGGTTGTGGAATGAGTTTTGTCATTAGTCTACGTTTAATACTTCTAATTAGTGTCCAAACATCCGATATGACAGGGAATAAAATTTTAGTCCCTGATCCAAACACCATTGTTTCTGTTACTGGTAGGGACCGCTGTAACCATTGTCAAAAGTTAATCTAGAGAAGTATAATAATATAATACGTGCAGACCTTGAGAGCAATGCTGGCCTTACTTTGTGTGCAAACTTGCTAGCTAGCATACCTTATGAAACAAGTTGCAGAGTAGCTAGATTGTAGGATCGGGAGTCAGCTGCTTTGAGTGCAAGTGTAAGGAACTCAACTCCATACTTCCCCTGCATAAGTTAGCCGGATTCTACTCTATCAATCATGTTATTTTAGTTATCCCTTTATTTCACAACCAAATCAAGGCTAAACAGCAGTCCAAGCAGAGTAGCTTAGCCAGCCAGCATAACAAGTCATATATAGGTCAGTCGGTGCTTAATTTTCATCCTCTTTGCATACCTGCACCCGTGTACAGGACGTCAATTCTGTTTGTGCCTGTAAGTCTGCAGCTCCTTCTTGTTTTCCTTCTTGTGTGTACTGCTGCCATTGCCTGAATGTTGTTTGGTTGCTCCTCTGAAACATGGGTTTTTTACAGTTCAGTTGGGTCACTGAAGAGTAAAAGACCTTGTTAGCAGACAGCGAACGCAAACTGCGCTGTTTAATTTACTTGCAGTTCTCAAGAGAAATAATGTGAGCTCTTACCACTCTCTTTTCTTGATGTTTTCATCTTTTCCTAAGGACTAACTAGGTGTACTAACTAACATTTGAGATGATCTTGTTAGTAAACAGTGAGAATGAGAGCAAACCCCATTGTGACCGCATTATCTGCGGCGGTATTTGGATTCTTCATTGGCATTTCTTTTCCAGTACAGATCACACCACAGGTAATAGATAGATACAGTATGTACTATTTATGATATCTGTTTTTGCCCATGAAATTTGAGAGATGATCTTTATCTGATGAATCAATGAGTCTCCTTTTGTGTGATGCATGCAGCTTCAGTGTGGCTTATTACCTTGCAGCAGTGGTGATGGTGCGAACTACAGCTTTAGTGGCAGCAGCATGATAGGCATACTGTGGTCACCATTCAGAAACACCACTATCCTGTCAAATGGCACTTCAGAGGTAAAATTTGAGAGCTTCTAGTTTCTCAGCTGGTAGTAGATAAACTCATTATCTTCTGTTGTTTGATGGTTTTAGAATCCTGCGTTGACAAAGCCGAAAGGTGCAGAGAAGCTACCACCAGGATTAGTAGTTACAGAGTCTGATCTTCACATGAGACGGCTGTGGGGATCACCAAGGGAGGTAGGCAGCTCTCTGAACTCTGATTCTGGTTTGTTAACTTAAATATGGACAGTAAAGTTGATATAAGAGCTTCATATATGTGTTTGTGCACTGATCGATCATCAGGACGTGGCGACTGGCAAGTACCTTTTGGCACTCGCGGTGGGATACTCTGAGAAAGCCAATGTGAATGCAACTGTTCTCAAGGTAAAAGGAATTAAGATTCAGGAAGAGGCAGGAAATCATCTCTCTGAATGTTTTTCTTGCTTCTGGTAGCTAGCACTGCATCTCTGAACTGAACATGTGGCGTTTGGATGTTCAGTTTCTGAACTTTACCATATGTCGTCAGCTGTAAACTTTAATCTCAGAAGTGAACAATGTGCAGTTCTCTGATAAGTTCGACGTGGTTCTGTTCCACTACGACGGGCGCACGACTGAATGGGATGACTTGGAGTGGTCGAAGCAGGCTGTTCACGTCAGCGCCAAGAAGCAGACCAAATGGTGAGCACTGAGCAGCAGCATTATGCTTACAGTAGTACTCCAATCTGTAGCTGATGGGCTAATGACAAATGATTGATCGAAGGTGGTTTGCAAAGAGGTTCCTGCATCCGAGCATCGTGGCGCCATACGAATACATCTTCTTGTGGGACGAGGATCTGGGAGTCGACAACTTCACCGCGGAAGAGTACGTGTGTGTCTGGTTTCTGAACTCTGAATTTTGCTTATTGGAGCTGATCAAGTAATGTGTTGTGGCCTTTGAACAACCAACCAACCAACAAATCGATCGGAAACACATAGGTACGTGAAGGTGGCGAAGAAGAATGGGTTGGAGATATCGCAGCCAGGATTGGACAGCACAAGAGGGAAGAAGACGTATGAAGTCACCGTTCGAAGAAACGACGGCCGGGAAATGCACAAGTAAGTAAAGCAGCTGAAAACGAACCATGGAAATCGATCTGAAGAAATTCAGGCTCTTGTTACTTCAGTAGAGACACTGACTGACGCAGACAGTTTGTGTGTGGTAAAATTTGGAACAGGACGAATGAGGGAGGGCGTTGCCCTGATGTGCACCAACGACCCTGCAGCGGGTGACATGAATTTCCTCTTACTCCACTACTACTGTCTTATTTGGTCTCTGAAACTCCTCGAGTCTGAAAGACATAACGATCGACACGCAGGTTCGTGGAGGTGATGGCGCCCGTCTTCTCCAGGGAAGCCTGGACATGCGTCTGGCACATGATTCAGGCAAGTATATATTAATTCATTCACAATTATTTCTCACTAACACTTAATTTCAACCAAAAGTAAACGAGCCAATGGAACTGTATATGCTTATAAATATGCAGAATGACTTGGTTCATGGCTGGGGTCTGGACTTCAATTTCTGGAGATGCGTCGACGTAAGTACTAGTACACTAGTGTTCATTCAGATGGTACTACTACTCAAATAGCTTGCTGAAGAAATAAGGTTAAACACATGATCATCATGCATGAATGGCAGAATCCTGAAGAGCAGATCGGCATCGTGGACGCGCAGTACGTGTCCCATCATGGAGTTCCCACGCTCATTGCCCAGGTTAATAAATAATTTCTTCTTAACTGTAATTTGCTTGCTCGTTACTGAATTCAGGGTCTCCTTTGTTTGTTTGTTTGTGTTACTAATCAATTTCTCGATCTCTTTCTTCAGGGTAACGGTGAACAACAAGGAAGCAGCGAAAAGGTAACTCAGTAATTCTTTAGTTCAATATGAAATGAAGCCCATTCTTTGCACCAATATGAAATGATACAGTAATTACTACTGTTGTAGTACATAGTGCATGCATGTTAACTGAAGAAGCATTCTATTAGTGTGTGATTAATTAAGTATTATCTAAAGTGTTCAGTTGAAGACGTACTCCCTCTGGTTCTATATTAATTGACGTTTTAGACAAGGTTGAGGTTAAACTTTTATAACTTTGACCATCAATAATTTTAAAAATATTTAGTTTAAAGAAACTAGAAAAACATATATAGATTTGTCTTTCAAAACACTATAATAAAAATAAACATGCATTTATTTATTGTATATATTATAATAGAAAAACAATGTCAAAGGTATATCTTGTAGAGCGTGTTATTGTTCAAAGCATCAATTAAAATGAAACCGGAGGGAGTAATCGATGATGTTAATTACGTGCGTGCGTGCAGGTTCGAGCCCGACAATGGGCGGAGATGCGCACCTTCCACGACAGAATTTCCAACGCCGAAAAGAAGCTTGGGGATTCGTCGCAGGCACTAGAAGAGTATCACCCTTGAACTTGGACATATGCAACCACCAACACTTAATTGTTTGCATAGTTCAGCACTGGCATCACATGCATCTTTTTTTCCCAAATGAAATTAAGCGAGAATATATATATATAGAGAGAGAGAGAGATGGAGGCATATATCCCTAGCTATATATATACGCGTACATGCTGAAGACTGCGTGAAGAATTGAAGAGATATTACCAAATTAACTGCACACACTTCCTTTTCATCATTGATTCTTCCCGCCATTTTTTTTTGTGAATTATCTATGGTCACTGACCGATCATGTATGAATTATCACGCGTTTGTATACTTTTCATGGTCAATTTCTCTGAAAGAGATACACACAGATATCTTAAAGATGGTGAAATTGTTGTATTTTTATGTGTCGACGTTTGAGACCATAACTACAGTATTTACATGGTATGAGAATCGTTGGTACTAGGGTATATATAAGATTGAGATAAAAGAGACAAAGAAAAGGATTTTTTTTATATATGTTCGGACCCCTTCATCGGAAGGTAATAACCTAATCCTGTTGGCCGAAGCCAGTATTGGTCTTATTTATCAGAATCACACAAGTACAATACTTAGGATAATCAATCTAGTCATCATCGACTTGGCGACATAGAACACCAACACGTAGTCAACAATGGGGTAATCTTCCTTCTCGAATACGTACTCGGCGATATCAGAGATAGCGTTAGATCCATCTTATCGGCATGACACCAGATTGGATCTGTCTAGGGTAATCTAATATCTGATGTCAATGTCTGGTGGCGTGTATTGGTATCTATTCTAACTGAGCTTGTTGATTTATTCGGGTTTGTCCTCCCCTCCCTAAAGGGTCTTGTATTTATACCCATATATATCACCTTGTCCAAATAGAATTAGAGAGACAAGTATAAATACAATTCGAGTAGTATTTATAATTTTCATGTGGAACTCTGCTTGTCATTTCTTATCCGAAACTTCTTCTATATACGAGGTATGATTCTGTATAAAACTTGGTATATAATGGGTCCTGCCGAGCTTAATTGATTATTATTGTATATGTGTTATTCATAACCCTAACAATGGGGAGCCCATTAATTGAAGAAATTAAGGTGATAAATGTTGAGCCTTTAATCCTACTGCTTTGTAGTATTGTGTAGTGTGAGTAGCGTGGCATCACATTCACAAACCATCAGCTAGCTGATTAGAATTTTAGGGCCCCTTTGAATCAAAGGAATTACGAAGAAATTTCATAGGATTGAAATCCTATAGGAAATTTCCTATGTAGCTCTTTGATTCAAAGGATTGAAGTTTTCCAAATCCTACAAAATTCATATGGAATGGCTTATAGCATATAGGTTTTGGAGGAAACTTAGCAAGAGTTCCAACCTCTTGGAAAAAATCCTTCGATTCTATCTCATCCGATTCCTATGTTTTTCCTATGGTCCAATCAAACGATCATTCCTGTGTTTTTCCTGTGTTTTTGTAGCGCCCGTTCCGTCGTGGCGCCTAGCGGGAAAACTATCTCTTAAAAACCCTAATTGCGAAATCTGTTTCTTTGCTTGTTGTCTAGTGTCCGTGTCATCTCAGATCTCAAATCCCCGATCTATCGTCAAGTTCAATCCCGAATCCAAATCCTTCCCAAATCAAATCCCTCCCCAAAAGTCTATTTTGCCTCCCTCGGGTTCGATGGGCCGAACTCCTCTCGGCCCATCTCTCCCTCCCTCCCCATCTCTCCCTCTCTCTCTCTCCCCGCTCTGCCCGCGCGCCGCGCGTGCGTGCGCGTGAGCCGCGCCGAGCCGAGCCCTCCCTCTCCGCTCTCGCTGCCCGAGCCGCGCCGCCCATTGCTTCCCGCGCACGCGTGCCGTGGTGGCCGACCGCCTAGTCGTCGCCGCCGTCACCCTCTGCCGCGCCTGTCCGCGCCTGCCGTCCGTGTCGCCGCTCCGCTCCACACCGCCCGGCCGTCATCGCCGTCGTCATCGACTCGACCCCGCCTCTCCCCGCGCGTGCTTCCAAGGAAAGGAGGCAGGGCTCCTCCTCATCGCCCTCTCTCCCTCCTCCTTTTCCCAAAGTGGCAAGGGGGCAAGCCCCCTTTCTCTCCCCCCTTTCTCCCTTTTCTCTCCCGCCGGCGTCATCCTCCTCCCCCCCTGTCGCCGTTTGGGCCGCGACCGCCGAGCGCTAGCCCTCTCCCTTGACCGCCCTAGGTCGGTTCCCAAACCGACATTGTCGCCCCTATAAACCCAAGCTCCTCCCTCCTCCATTTCCTCCCCCCCCCCTCGTTTTCATCTCTCGCCGCCACACCCTGTCGCCCCTGTTCCGTCGTCGCCGTTCGTCGTCGTGCGTGTCGGAGGAGCCGGCACGAGCAAGGACGCGGAAGCGGACTCCGGGCGTGCCCTCTTCTTCCTCTTCCCCGGCCCGAGGCCGGAGAGATCACTCCCGTGCCGTCGGCCTCTCGTCACTGCGCCCCGTCCCGCATGGTAGTGCATCCCTCCGTTCTCCCTCCTCGCTCCATCTCTTCCCCTTAGCTTTGAGTAGCCGCTCGAGTAGTACCCCAGTAGCTAGCTGGCGCCGCCCCGACTGCTGCCGTCGCTCGCCGTGTGCTCGCCGCCGTCGCCGCCCGAGCTCGGAAGCGTCTCTCGTCGCCGGCCTCCCTCGATGCGTTTCCTCCTAATCCGGCGCAAGAGATGGGTTCCCGTATCCGCGTAGATGCTCTCACCGCCGGGAATCGGCCCCTCGTGACCTCGTCGCCGTTTCCCCCTTTTCTCTCCGTCGGTTGCCACCGCCGCAATCCGCCGCCGACGAACTCCCTTCGGCGAATCCAAGCCGTTGGCTTGCTCCCTCTCGTTCTCCCTCGTCATCCCGGTGTACACCCCGTCGCCCCTCGTCGTCGCACGGCGTTCCGGAGAAACCGCCGCCGCCCGCCGTCCATTCGCGGCCGGCACCTTCGTCTTCCTCCAGCCGGCCTGCGTGGCAGCCACGTAGGCGCCACATCGGAGCCACCTCGACACGACCGGATCGGCTGACCCGGCCAGCCGCTCCCTCCGTTCCCCCCCGGTGCGCATGGTCCGCAGTGAGCCGTGAGGCTGCGCATGGGCCCGCCGCACCGCGTCCTCCGCGAACCGTGCGCATGCGCCGCGCCTCCCTCCCCAAACCCTAGCACGCCCCGCGTGCACCTCGCTCACGATGAGCCGAGTCGCCGACAAGCGGGTCCCACCCGAGACCACGCGGGATGGACCCGGCCCACCGGCTCTCTCTCTCTCTCTCCTCCCCGCCCGCGCGCGCGCTTTGGGCCGCCTTCTTGGGCCGGCCGGCCCATTAAGCTCGGCCGGGCCGCCCCTTTCTCTCGGGCCGCGCCCTAGCCGCCCGAGGAAAGTCTAATTTCCCTCCCTCCTTCTTTTCTTTTCTTTTCTTTTTCAAAAAGGATTTAAATAAATCCTTTTCCTTTAGACCAAAAATCCAATAATCTTAGAAATTCAATATCTTCCCAACCGTAAGTCCGTTTGACTCCGTTCAACTTCCAAAATTCCTCAAATCTCGAGATCTATTTAATGGCACACTTAGAGGTCAATAATAGGGCTTTATTTTCGCCGTTGGCTTAGTTGTCCCGTTTCGCGTGTAGTTTCGGAGCCCGAAGACCCGCAGTGCGAGGATTTCGAGGATCAAGCTCAAGATCTCGAGCGAGGCAAGCCACCTTTGAACATCTTGAGCCTATATTTGAACTTAATTATGTTGCTTGAAAAATATTATGCATTGATAGGATTGCACTTAATCTGCTTGTCCCGTCTGCAAGGCAGATTGGCGGACCTACCTAACTTGTTGCATTTGACCCTTCCATTGTAATTGTTATACCATGTTCCCTTGTAACCGCCTAGTTGCGCCTCAGTAATCGTGCACTCTGCACGAGTATCGACGGTCGCCTTCAAACTTAAAATCTGAGAAACATCTTGGGTAAAACTTGGGTTTTACAAAAGATTTGGAAAACCCGACACCTGGGTCGGTGCTTGCGAACCTAAATGAATTTCCAAAATCGCGGACCGGGGAACGTACCGGGTGTATGGTTTCCCGCTCTTGCACTTAAGGACCGTTTCCTTGGAATTTCATCCGAACATAAGACAAGTACGACCACATGGGTGGAATGGGACACCCCTGGCTGAGTAACTAGCTAATCGGGGGAGCCATGATGCCAAGAGACATGTGGATTCAACGGGATGGTGTCGGGGAGGACCCCCGGGTTTCCTGGCACAGTATGGTCTGGGACCTAATCTGGTGTTGGTCTGGGACCCCTCTCATTGGCATATGGTGAACCTGTGTCGGCTTTTGAAATGCCTTGTCATAAAAGCCTTAAGGTCTCTAGTCGTGGCTGTTCTGCACGGGCTGGATGATCCGGGTTAGTAATGTCGTGTGGGTAAAGTGTACCCTCTCTGCAGAGGTTATTAAACTGTTCGAACAGCCGTGCCCACGGTCATGGGCGGATGTGAGGTGATTCCTAGCGTAGTTTTGTTTGACTACTGCTTGTGAAATTTGCTGATGTGGTTTGGGTTCGATGTTTGGAAAACCTGCGGCTGATGGGATCAGCCAGGCCCGGGTGGCCGTTTAAAAGCCGTTGGCCGGGTGCCAACCTTGATCAATTCAAAAGACTGATACCTTGCACATACTCCGACCGGACAAGACGCACTGTCTCATCCGTGTCGTTTGAGAAGCACTCACTTAGTTGTTTCAGAAAAGAGTTTAAATAAAATCAATTGCAAAAACAACAGCCTTTCCTTGAAGCCTGCATTAAACACTTATTTCCCATGGCTTGCTGAGTACTCCCGTGCTCACCCTTGCTCTATATAAATAATCCCCCCCAGTTGCTGAAGAAGATGAAGCGGATCCCGCTGACGAGGAGTTCTTCCAGGAGTAAGCCGGCTACGATGAGTTTTAGGGTTTCGGCCTAGTTCCCAAGTCGCGCCTGTGATGTCTGGCCCAAGTCTTGGCTTCCGCTTTCCTTTTGTAATGCAGTTGTGAGCTCGGGATCTGTCCGCAGCCCAACATGACTGTAATCCTACTCTATAATAAAGAGACCTCTATTGCTGTGATATTCTGTCTTCCTGTGATACCAGCACTGTTACCTGGGACTGGTATCGATTAACAGGTTAATTTGGAGCGTCATGGGCTAGTTCCGCTCGGGACTAGTTCGGAACGTGACAGTTTTGCAATCCTCTGTTTTACACTTACATTTCTATCAGAATCCTATGTTTTTTCTATTCCTCTGTTTTTTTATTCCTATAATTCAAAGAGACCCTTAGTGCCTGTTTGTTTCCTCTTCGCCTTTGCATGGAGGAATACTTTTACCACCCTTGCAGACAACGTACCACAGATTCCACACAATATTGATCATCTCTCTCTCTCTCTCTCTCTCTCTCTCTCTCTCTCTCTTTCTCTTTAGTTAATTATATTAGGACCTACCTGGATTAATTAGTTTGATAAAGTCGTAATTGTAATACAGCATGCATGCAGCTGCTGGTATATATATATCGCCCCCATAGATCATATTGATAACGCACAACAAAACAAAGATAGAAACAAAGTGCTGTTGAATTAATTGATAAAAGAGTACTAGCACGCAGTAACAATATAACGACGTGGAATAGCTCCTGTTCTACGAAGACCACACTAACTTGCTCTGACCATGACTGCCGTGTCCTACACATTAATCCAAGCTATAATTACTTGATTCTTAATTTGCTTACAATTCCTTCAACTACTAATTAAGTATATCAATATATTGCCGGCACAATTCGCACATATACTATATATCTAGTCTAATGGAATTAGTGGAGTATAGAAATGCTTGGGAACTTTCTCAAGTCTTTCATGCATGCAGATATATATTCTCTATAGATAATATGCTCCGGATATGCAATGGAGTCCGGACCAAAAGTGTGGATGCATGCTTAATTGGTTCGTTAGTTAGTTATCTTCAATCGTATCGATCGATCGCATCAAAATAGGGATATCATATATCGATCGGATCGATCTTGATTTTTTTTTCCTCTCTTCATCCATCGCCGCCATGCAGGCGCGCCGGCGGCACGCCAGGCAGTGCCGTCTGGTCGTCGCCGGCCTCATCATCGTCACCACGCTCCTCTTCTTCACCGGCGACGCCCCTCGCGTCTTCATCGACGCGCCCACGCAGAACCAGCTGCCGCGCCGCCTGCCGCTCAGCCTCGCCGCCGTCCGGGAGGCCGCCACATGGCCCGCCGACGCCGTCCTGCTCCCGGACTGGGAGGTCCTCCTGCTCCTGCATCCCAACGCCACCGCCATCGCCCACAACGCCACCTGCGCGTTCCAGGGCGCCGCGTCGTCCCCCGCGCGCGCGCTCGGGAGGCTGCCGTCCTCGGGCCGCCACGCCTACACCTGCGCCATGCCGGAGCCGGCGCGCCGCCACCAGCCGTTCCACGCGCCGCGGATCGTGGCTATGGACGCCGTCCATGCCTCACCGCATGATGATGATGAGCTGGTGATGATGGTCAAGTGGAGCGGCCGCCTCGTGTACGACTCGGTCGTGGTCGACGGCGGCGACGTGCTCGTCTTCGCCAAGGGCGTCAACCCACGCCAGGGAGTCAACCGCCCGGCCTCGGACGTAAGGTGCGTCTACTACCGCGGCCGCGGCGGCAGCGCCGACGACGTGGTGGCGTCGCTCCCCGCAGCCACGTCGGCGCAGCAGGTGTTCCGGTGCCCGCCTCCGCCACCAGCAGCGTTGCTACGCGTGACGCTCGCCCTCGCCGGCGAGGAGGAGCCCATCCCCTCGGTGGCGACCTACAGTCTGCCTCCAGCATCGGCGGCGGCGACGCACAAGAGACGACATAAAATCTGCGCGTGCACCATGGTGCGCGACGTGGGCAAGTTCGTGCGGGAGTGGGTGGCGTACCACGCGGCGGTGGGCGTGGGCCGATTCATCCTCTACGACAACGGCAGCGAGGACGACCTAGACGAGCAGGTGCGGCGTCTCACGGCGGAGGGCATGGACGTCACCACGCTGGCCTGGCCGTGGCCCAAGACGCAGGAGGCCGGCTTCTCCCACAGCGCGGCGGTGCACCGAGACGCGTGCGAGTGGATGGCGTTCATCGACGTGGACGAGTTCATCTTCTCCCCCAACTGGGCCACCGCCGCCTCCCCATCCAGCTCCATGCTCCGGTCGATCGTCGCCGTGAAGCCGGACGTGGGACAGGTGTCGCTCGGGTGCGTGGACTTCGGGCCGTCGGGGAGAACCACCCACCCGCCGGAGGGGGTGACGCAGGGGTACACGTGCCGGCGGCGAGCGGTGGAGCGGCACAAGTCGCTGCTCCGGCTGGAGGCGGCGGAGAGGTCGCTGGTGAACTCGGTGCACCACTTCGAGCTCCGGGAGGGGAAGCGCGGCGAGTGGAATCGGCGGGCGCGGGTGAACCACTACAAGTTCCAGGCGTGGGACGAGTTCCGCCTCAAGTTCCGCCGCCGGGTCTCTGCCTACGTGGCAGACTGGACCCACCGGGTCAACCTCCAGTCAAAGGACCGGACGCCCGGTCTGGGCTTCGACCCGGTCCAACCGGCCGGTTGGGCCGCCAAGTTCTGCGAGGTGAACGACACGCTGCTCCGGGACGTCACGCGGCGGTGGTTCGCCGCCGCCGGCGAGAGTCAGCTCCAAGCAGCCCGTTGATCGATCGTGCGCGATTAGGAGATCGATGATGATGCTTCATTATTAGCGCGCTACAGGTATATTACATGCATACAACAGACAATTAATTAAAGATTGATTAGGTTTGAGTTGATCGAACAACTCAATCGTTGATTCGTTCATCCATTTTTCCTTTTTGTTGGTTGTTTTTGGCATGTATATATACAGTTGGCTAAAAAAATTTTCTTCCCAAAGGAAATAATATATATGTAGCTTAGCTGTAGAGATTAAATTAACACGCATGGTTATGAACTGTATGCGTTACAGCAGGCTGAATTCTTTTCTTGCTGCAACAGGCAAGTTAAGTATAGACGCAGGGTACAAAAGGTCTCTCAAACGTTGAATATACACTTCATTCATTTGTTTATATGCTCAAATCTCATCCGCTATATATGTATATATATATACGTATACGTATATACATATATACGTATACGCGTGTGTGTATGTATATGTATGTATGTATGTATACATAGATATACATATATATATATATATATATATATATATATATATATATATATATATATTCTATTAATCCTAGTGGACTTAGGAACAGGAAAGAGAAAAAGATATGGAGAAGGTACTGTGAAAAACGAAGGAGAAAGAGAAAGACCAGCTAGGGCAGCAGGAAAATGCCCCCCTGATAGAGAAGAATTTTCATATAACTATATACCAGGACAATATAGGCACATGGGTACTAAGAGAAGAGACTTTGAGAAGCCTGTTAAATTTCAAAACCAGAGGAGTGATGGTGCTATATTAAATTTAGCCGCACATGACCCTATTGATTGGCCTAATATTATTAATATTTGGAAATGTTTAATAGTTCAAAAATATATACAAAACCAGCACAATATAGGAAGTAAAGTTGAAGATATGATAACCTACTTAGAAACATTTTTAGGTGAATCTGCTAAGGTTCTATGGGAACAATTGGTTGAAAAGAATCCTAATAATTATGAAGAATTGAAAAGAGCTGGTAGCAATCCGCATAATTTTGCAAATGTTATATCTAACATTATTATAGCTGAAGATCCGGAATTAGGTTATACAACTTTGTAGAATGAAAGATTAAAAGAAATAGAAAAATTAACGTTAACAAGTTGGAAAGGCATAAAAGAATTCTCCCAACATTATTTATATAATGCTACAACTGCTAAACAAGGATATAACAGGGGAATAGTTGAACGTTATTTCAATAAATTACCTGACCCACTAGGAAGTATGATATTTGAAGAATATAAAAAGGAAACTGAAGGAGCTGAAATCAACATCTCGCAAGCCATAACTTTTGTGTTTAAGCAACTAAGAAAAATATGCACGGGTATCCAAGTCTAAAGATCTATGAAACACTCGGATTACAATTTCTGCAATAAAATAGTTCAAATACCCTTGTCATATGGAGAAGACAAGCCTAGAAGTAAAATGATTTATAAACATCAAAATAGAAACAACAACAACGAAGACACCATTCAGAGCAAAGCTTCCAAGCGCGCTCTCACCCTCCATTCCACCGTTCTTAGTAGTAGTGACTTTAGCCTACCTTGCATAGTATATTGAAGCAAGGAGTTGTGTTATAACGCTGTGTAAGGTAAGAACAGCTTGCTTGTACTTACCTTCGGGTTTCCCGAAAGGGAAAACCGTATGTAAGCTTATCTGTTTAATATGAAGTAATTTTCCTTAAGTATTCCTGCACGTTTGTTCTAAACAAGTGTTTATGCTAAGGACCCTATAGGAGAAACCTCTTTGGTTTGTTCTCGTTTTTAGTCTGCATCTTGCATAGGCGTCTGGAGAATCGGTATCCGTAGAGAAGTGTTCCCTTCTGGTGGAACTGCCTGGGGAGACGATAAACTCTTAGCTAGAACAAGTGTGACTTGGAATATCTTTTTAAGTTGCTTCTAAAAAGACAGATAGGTAAGGCATACGGTGAGTACCGAGTAGGACTTTACATCATCTGAAACAAGCTTCTGAGGCTGTCTAAGTAGGATTCGCCACCCTGCAAAGATCCTAAAGTTAAAATATCTCTCGAAGTGAACAGTATTGAACAGTAATTTGAACAGTAAACTGAATAGTAATCAGCCGAATAAATAGTGTTCTTGAAATATTGTATATTGTCTGAAGTATAGTTATATATATATATGTGTGTGTGTGTATGTATATGTGTATGTGTATGTATATATATATATGTATATGTGTATGTGTATATATATATATATATATATGTATATGTGTGTGTGTATATATATATATGTATATATATATATATATGTATATATATATATATATGTATATATATATATGTATATATGTATGTATGTATATATATATATATATATGATACCCATATGGGACTCCATGGTGCCCAGGCTCCAAGGTATAAAACACACAAATTCTCTCAAATTTTTAAAAATTTTCAAATTGTGAGTATATACCTAGGTATATGAATTTGATTCATACATATACCTAACAACAAAACAACTCAAACTCAACTTTATTTCACAATTCATTATTACATACCTAACGAATTATATGTTTGAATGTTATATACCTAGAACCAAAATCTAACCAAAAAAAGTTCAAACTCAGTTCAAACTTGTTTGAACTTGTTAGTAAAGAAGTTAATGTTCATATCTAAATATTTTTTAAAAAATTCATGCTCATTCAAATTGGGTATATACTCAATTTGAATCTTGGAGCCCATACTCCATGTAGCACCAGTTAATTTACCTATATATATATATATATATATATATATATATATATATATATGTGTGTGTGTGTGTGTGTGTGCGCGCGCGCGCGCGCGCGCGCGCTTGTACCTCGTGCTTTGGTTTAGGATGAGTTGTACTAATTTGGCAGCAAATAATTTGGGAATTTTTGTGTTGTGGTGTAGTTATACTGTAATCACATTAAAAATCTCTTACATGTGAATATGTTTCTATCTCTCCTGCTCCCTCTGTTCCAATATACTTGCATTCAACCTTTTTAATCAAAATGTATGATTTCTACATTCTAAAGCAATTTTAGAGGTGACTATGTATTACTCCACAATACAACTTTTATGTTTGATTTGAAAAAATATTGCTACACCTTATTTGCCACGAGATTTTCTACAGTGCCAAGTAAATTTAAAAGTAAAATAAAACCTGTAGGGGTGATATGAATTACTAGGTCCTTAAAAATATTGCACGTTTATGGCCTGTTCAGATTGTAGCCAAAATAAACCTTACCGAATTTTGGATACCAAAATTTTTCCGATTTGGCAATATTGCCAAGATTTCTTATTTATTTATCAGAATTTGGTAAGAAAATAAATAGATGGACATATTTGGTAACTTTACTCAAAAAATAATATAGTTTAAAATGACATTAATCTGAACAAGCCCTTAGATCTGTAAACTCAAAAAGGGCCATATAAGTGCAAAAAGGCAACTGAAAAGTGAAAAGGTCCATATGTAGAGCCCGATTATACTAGACTGGTCCAAGTGTGCGTGTTCCGATGAAGAGAGGAGCCCACACGATACCGGCCTGTTTTAAGTCTAATATTGGGCCTAGTAGCCTTATGCTAGGATGGAATATAATATGGGCTTTTCGGCCTGCAACATTTGTTGGTAATCGTAGGCCCATCCCATTGGACTGACAGACATATAGACATATCAGTAATCAGTAGTCTACTAGAGTATTAATTTGGATTTGTTTGCCAACAAAACTTTGTGGTAATTCTTGAGAGGCTTATTTGTGTTGTTTTTTTGTTGAGTGTGCTTAATTGATATATGATGCACACAGGCCGGATTAAGTCATCTTATTTTTACAACAATGAAAGATGTACTACTGTCTGTGCTTTTGATGCAGACTTCTTGACGTGTGAATGAGAGATTAGGAAGACCATTCCATGACAACATTGCTGAAGGATACAAATAGAAGCCGTGTATATGAAAAAATGACAGTATGTACATTGATTAGTATAGCAAAAACGTAGCATTGTGCTATGGTTTTTGTGTTTCATGCGGCTAATGTAGATGCTCACTGCGCTAGTAGTAAGGTACTCCAGTACATTATGGAATATACAAAGCTGTAATACTCGTATCAGCAAGAGAGAGGCACACAAGTTGTAGCAGTAGCACAGGATTAGAAAAACGGGACGACAAATAGTAATGGAAAAACAAAAAAAAACAAGGAAACACATGGCAATATAAATGGAGAAATCACAAGAGGAACAGAATCCGGGCAATACGCTGCGAAAGTACTCGTACGTAAAAAAAAGAGGCGCATTCATGTGTGGACAGCGTGCAGCAGAAGCAGGGATTTGAAACCACTCAAATCCACCACTGCAAACCTTCAAACGAGGCCATGGTTTGAAGCATAGAAAGCACAGGTAAGAAGCACAACGCCCTCGCTCTCCACCCTCCCACCCAATCGCGACGCACCTCGCGGATCGGTGACGTGGCCTCGCCCCCCAAAAATATCCCGCGGCGTGAAGCTGACACCCCGGGCCCACCCACCTGTCACGTTGGCACATGTTGGTTATGGTTCCCGGCCGCACCAAAATATCAACGCGGCGCGGCCCAAAATTTCCAAAATCCCGCCCAAGCCCCTGGCGCGTGCCGCTCTTCCACCCAGGTCCCTCTCGTAATCCATAATGGCGTGTGTACCCTCGGCTGGTTGTACGTGGGCGGGTTACCCTGGGGGTGTGGGTGGATGACGGGTGGGCCCGGAGGAGGTCCGGCCCCGCGCGTCATCGCGGGGCGGGGTGTAGCGGGTGCGAAAAGGAGGCGATCGGTACGAAAATTCAAATTAGGAGGTGGGGGGCGGGGCCCTTGGAGAATAAGCGGAATCGCAGATATGCCCCTGACTTGGCTTGGCTCCTCTTCTTCTTATCCCTTGTCCTCGCAACCCCGCTTCCTTCTCTCCTCTCCTCTTCTCTTCTCTTCTCTGGTGGTGTGGGTGTGTCCCTGTCTCCCCTCTCCTTCCTCCTCTCCTTTCCCCTCCTCTCTTCCCCCCTCTCACAAGAGAGAGAGCGCCAGACTCTCCCCAGGTGAGGTGAGACCAGTCTTTTTGCTCGATTCGACGCGCCTTTCACGCCGCCTCGCGCGGATCTGACCGCTTCCCTCGCCCTTCTCGCAGGATTCAGCCATGAAGGGGGCCAAATCCAAGGGCGCCGCCAAGCCCGACGCCAAGTAATAATCAATCTATTCTCATCTCCCTTTAACATCTCTATTCTATGTTCACGCCGTCGCAGATCTGTTGATTTTCGCCGCCGCAGATTAGATTTTGACTTGATTTTTGTTGGTTGCAGGTTGGCTGTGAAGAGTAAGGGCGCGGAGAAGCCCGCCGCCAAGGGCAGGAAGGGGAAGGCCGGCAAGG